GGTCCTCTCCCAAACCCACAGCCCAGTCTGACCGTGGTGCACACACACCAGACAAACCCCAACTGAGGGGCATCCTATGGCGTGCCTGACCTGTCCCCCTCGGAACCGTCCGGGTCATCAAGAACAAGGACAGTCTGAGAAGCTGTTGCAGCCAAAAGCAGCCTGAGGGGACAGGATGTCTAAATGGACAGGGGGTCCTGGCACCGGAGAAGGACACTGAGGAAAAATTAAGGAAATCCGAAGAAAGTAATGGACTTCGGTTAGTAACGAGTAATCATCGGTACCAGCTTATTAATTATCACAAGAGATTAATAATGTGGGAAGTGGCAGGGGGGCTACGGGAACTCTTTACGGTCTTGTCACTTTTTTTCGCAAACCTAAAACTGTTCTAAAATAGAAAGCTCATTTACTTTTAAAAAAGTTTCCGGATGAGAGGTGCATCATTCTCTTGATATGAGATTGTGAGACATTTAGATTCTAGTGCCTACGGAGAAAGTTCCTTAAACATCGGAGGCCAAGGGAAGCCGGTTCTCCGTCCCTCCGACGGGCAGTGGGTCCCAGAGAGGGACTGCGCAGGGGACTGCCGGGGCACACTGGGGATGAGAACAGGATCTTGAACGGCCTGGGAAAGCCACCGGATCACGCCTGGTGCCTATGAAAGCACCAAGACCCGCAGAAAGGCGAGTTGGGAGTGAAAGCTCATCGCGGGCAGATGCCGAGGGCGCCAGGGCTGTGCTACGGCGCTGTGGACTGCGCTCAGCCCGAGAACTCCACGTCTGCGTGCCGCCTCGATGGGCATTTCCCAGATGTGTGTGTGTGTGTGTGTGTGTTGCTGGTCTCACTGCTGCACATTTGGGACCAAGGGTACTACTATTTAATATTTTTCTTTAAATCAACTTGCTTTTTTCCCCTCTTAGCTCCATCCTGAGCAACAGAATGTCATGGGTTCCTTGTGCTGATTATATTATTATGTATGTATTGCACACATTAAAATAAATACCTAACCAAACCCACCATTAAAAAATGCACAAAGGGGTGTCTGGGTGGCTCACTGGGTTAAGCGTCTGACTCTTGATCTCAGCTCAGGTCTCGATCTCAGGGTCCTGAGTTCAAACCCCGTGTTGGGCTCCATGCTGGGTGTGGGGTCTACTTAAAAAAATTGAATACAGGCTCTCATTCTGTCTACACCAAGAGGCAGAAACAATCCACAGTTTTGTCCTGAGCGATTCAGTACCAAGTTCTTCCTCAAGGATTCAGGGTTCATTCACCATGATGTTTCCTGTCTTCCATCAACAGCACTGTGAACCCTGCCATTTATTTCATCGGGAGGCGGAAACCGAGGGCGCCCCTCACAGGGGTCTCCACGGAACCCTGGGTGAGGAGGCAGAGCAGAGGAGCGGCACCCGCCCCGCCGAACAGAGGACAGCCCCCTGCCGGGTGGCAAGTTCCCAAGTGGGCCCGATGATCTCCTGGCAGAAGTCACGCCTCCTGGTCAGCAAGAAGCAGCACCCCAACCAAGTCAGGCACCTGCAGAGTAAGTCCCATCACAGCCTCCCCTTCATATAGAAACCGTGGACAAATTGCTGGAGCAGACTTCCCATGTGAAATGCACATCTTTGGGTCTTTTCAGCCTATTGTCAAATCACCCTTCGGAAAGCTCGTCAGGGGGCTGGTAGGGTCACACTTGCCAACCATGGAGAGTCAGTGGTTTCAACCTTTGTCTTAAAATTCTGCTCGTTTTCAGTCTTGCACAAGTAATGCTGCTAAAATTCTTCTGGGTGTAGGTTGGCCCCTTGGAAATGGGGTGTCCTGGGGGGGGGATCGGAGGGGGAGACAAACCATGAGAGATGTTGGACTCTGAAAAACAAACTGAGGGTTTTAGAGGGGAGGGGGGTAGGGGGATGGGTTAGCCCGGTGATGGGTATTAAGGAGGGCATGTTCCGCATGGAGCACTGGGTGTTAGACGAGAACAATGAATCGTGGAACACTACATCAAAAACTAATGATGTATGGTATGGTGACTAACATAGTAAAATTAAAAAAAAAAAAAGAAATGGGGTGTCCCTTCAGCTTTGCCCATTTTTCTGGCATGTTCTAGGATCCTACTACAGTTTTTCTTCCTAGACTTCTAAGGGGTTCACCCCACTGGATGCAACATGCAACGTCTTCCAAAATTCTAGTTTTGTCTTTAGGATTCCAATGAAATGAATCTTTGTTGATGGAGTTCTGTCTGGAAGGACAACATGAAGCCAGTCACGAGTTTGGCTGCTTCAATAAACCCTTTGTGCAATGAGCCTTGTGTCTTCCGAGGCCCCTCAGATTGCTTTTGTTGTCGAAATTTGCAGGACCGTCCGGCGGGGAGGAGAAAGGCTCTAGGGGGTCTTGGGGCTCAGGAGTGTCCCCGGGACACAGGAGGTCCCCGAGATTCTGAGCCAGCTCTGTGTTTGCCACGAGGCCTCATTCTCTTCTCCAAGAAACAGGCTGGGTCTTGTCTGCGGCTGGTCTGAAGACAGCCAGGACCCCGCAGAGACACACCTTCGGCTGCCAGGAAGATGCCAGCTTCTCATTAGCTGAGCTCTGGTGACACCCCGTAACTGGGGGTCACCGTCCCGTAACTGGGGGGACATTACCCTGTAACGAGGGGGACACTGTCGTATAACTGGGGGTCACCACCCTATAGCTGGGGGGACACTACCCTATAATGAGGCACTCTACCCTATAACTGGGGGGATGCTATTCTTTTTTTTTTTTTAAAGATTTTTTTTTTAATTTATTTATTTGAGAGAGAGAGAGAATGAGAGATAGAAAGCACGAGAGGGAAGAGGGTCAGAGAGCCCGATGTGGGACTCGATCCCGGGACTCCAGGATCATGACCTGAGCCGAAGGCAGTCGCTCAACCAACTGAGCCACCCAGGCGCCCAGGGGGGACGCTATTCTGTAGCTGGGGGGAACAACCCTATTACCAGGGGGATACTATCCTGTAATGAGGGGGACACTATCTTAAACTGTGGGTCACCACCCTGTAGCTGGGGGGACATTACCCTATAACTGGGAACAACAATAACTGGGGGTCACCACTCTATAACTGGGGGGACATATCCTATAACTAGGGGGACACTACCCTGTAGCTGGGGGGGGGGCCTGACGCTGTCATGTGGTGTGCCTGCTCCCTCCCCAGGGAGTCAGCGAGGGCACCGTCCTGCCCGGGACACCCGTGGGGTGATGAGGCCTGCACTGTGTCCCCCTTGCTGACAGTCATCTCAGGGGGTGAAGTGACACAAGGGTCCCCGCCTCAGCTGCTGAACCCGTTCACATCTCCTGGATCTCGTCTGTCACCACCCCCCTGGGCCAAAGCTGGGGGGCTGCCAACAGGGTCAGGGAGAGCTGTCTGTGGGTCTGCACTGTTGGCTCCGCCAGCAACCATCCTTAGAGGAGGGAGACTGCCCTCGGCGTCCCCAGGGCCATGTCGGATCACAGAGTAGCTTTGACTGTTGGGTGTTTATTTCTGGATCCTCCCAGGTGGAGGACTGAATTTTCCTCCAAGAGTAAACTGCTTCTTGGCTTTAGGAAAAGCACCCTGACGGTGTCTCGGAAACACCGGGAATGAGCTACGGTTCTGGGGCTGGGAAGCCAGAGATCAGGGTGCTGGCGTGCTCAGGTGAGGCCCTGGCAAGGGGCTCTCTGGGGCCTCTTTCATAAGGCCGGGAACCCTGCTCTTAGGGGTCACCTCCCCAAGGCCCCATCTCCTCACGCCATCACCTTGGGGATTAGGATTTCGACATCTGGTTTTGGGGGGACTCAGACATTCAGACCGTAGCAATGGGCTTCTGGGTCTCTGAGGCCAAGGCTTTTTGGGAATGAGCAGTAAATGGCTTTGCTTCCCTGTGTAAAAGGTTGTCTTCAGGTTGGCATAAGTCACGAAATAATGGGCCTCTGGGGCTGGGGGGAATGAATGGTTGTTTTGCTCCTGGGTCTGCGGGGGGCCCTGGATTCCAGGAATGGACACCACCTTATGGGGGCAGCCTTTGGGGAAGGAGAGAGATGTGTCACTCCCTCTGCTTGGGCCCACACCTTTGGCGTAGCCTGATTCATATTTAGCGGGCCTTTTCCTGTCACTGTGGGAAGGTGAGGGAAAGGTCTACCCACAGGCTTTGCAGGCCCATAGCCCATGGCAGCACCCCTGGGAACAGTTGCCTCAGACAGGAAGGCTGTGTGTTGTCTGGGGACCCACCATCCACTCTCCATGCCTCTCTAACACCTCCTGGTCCTCTGTGGGGGCCCCTGTGCTGTAGCTAACTGGTTCGGGGATGGGCGTATGACCCAGCAGGAAAATACACACACTAATTTCCTGCTGGATTTACACCGGGGATTTCACAGGCCTGGGGCCGTAGCGCCCCAATGTGGAGCATGAAGAGGCAGAGGAGCTGAGCAGGGCAGGGGGAGAAGAGAACCAAGTTCTAAGGACATGTGCATACCCTGGATCCAGCCAGACCTGAAGCCGTCACAAGCCCTGCACTGTCCCACATGTTAACCAATAAACTTCTTTTCTCGCTTACAAGTTTCTTTTCTTGGGTAAGGCTTTTGGGCAGGGAAAGCAGCACAGACCCCAAACTGACTGTGCCCCCTCCCCAGCAATGGGGGGGCTGTGAGTGTGGCCAATCCCATCTCAGCTTCCCTCTGCACCAGGGAGGCTGCGATCCCCTGGGGCTTAGCCCCCAAGAGAGGATCCTAGGAATTGAGGGGGGCTTAGAAGGGGATGAAAGAGGAGGCTCCTCATCCCCACCACATACATAGACTCTGCTCCCAGAAATCACATTCTCTTTACTTGAGCCTTTTTGTAAGGACCGAGAATGAACAGATCCCTGTCCCATGAGATGTGAAACAAGATGCTGGCACGCTGCTCCAGGCAGGGGTGGCTGAGCCCCTGCTCACGGTCACTGGCGAGGCCCACCTCACATACGGGACCCTTGCGGGAGGGGCCCTCCGGGCAGGAGCCGGCGTCAGTCAACACCATCCAGGTCCTGACGGCCTCTGCTCTCGAGCTGGAGAACCTGGACGGACAAGTCACACGAATGTCTATGCTGTCAAAACACACCGGTTCGCACCAAGCAAGGGTGGCGGTCACAGGACTGGATGAGCAGCCCATGAAGCAGTCCCCACGATGCTCGAGGATGCGGGAAGGATGCAGAGCCCGTGCGCTGGTCAAGTCTGGGAGGACGTGCCTCAGCACATCACGGCCGTCCCTGCTAGACGCAGAGACCACAGCAGATTGTATCTCTGCCTACGGGTGTCTTCTGAGGGGTCTACCTCTGCACGGCCTCCGAACCCCACTCCTGATTTGGGGGAACCCATTGCTGAGTGCAGGTGGGGGAGCCAAGCCCCACGTCTCATTGATACCTCGTCTGGACGTGGGCTGTCCTGGGCACCCCTGGAAACCAGCAGTGTCCCCACACTCTGCCCACCAGATGCCAGTGACACAGACCCCACCCCAGACGCCATCCCCGGGAACATCTCCAGACAAGGCCTGCTGTCCCTGGGGGTGACCCCTCCCCCGAGAACCACGGCCTGGTTGTGTAGTCTCACTCGGGGTCCATCCCCCAGATCCACGTCATCTACAGAGATGCCTCCCTCGGCCACCAGACAGATGGAGCGTCCGTCTGTCCCACCGTGATCGCCGGCGCAACACTGCACGCATCCCAGTGTATCGAGGGCCCCCCACTGGCCGGCTTCCCTCCCACGGGCTATGACTACCTGCGCCAGGAAGGGCGGTCCCACGTGCCCTGTGCCCTGGCTCCAGCCCTTGGCCTTGGGAAGGGAAGGTGGGACTTGCTTTTTTAAACTGAACCTGTAATCCTTCCTTCGCTGTATTATTAACTAGCAAAGGGAAGGCCAGCCCGGAGGGATAAGACGAGAGCCTGTCTGGATCCTGGAGTTGTCTGGAAGCGACGACAATGGGCCCCGCATCCCCACGGCTGCTCGCTGAGTGACACGGCACAAACAGCACACACTTGGCCCTTCACGGACACGAGGACAGTAAACACCATCGCCGCAAACAGCTTTGCGGTCCTCAGCGGAAGCGAGCCGGTGTTTCCCCCACAGACGCCAGACGCGGGGAAGAGCCGCCTGCGCCCCACTTACCGCATCCTCTATGCACCGGAACTGCCAGGGCCAGCCGGCGCGGTACAGAAACGGCCGCAGATCGAACCTGTTGTCGTCGGGGCCGTAGCTCTCCGCGTGGTATGCGGGTGTGAGCGTGGTCATTTTGTGTCTGTTTGCAGCGTACTTGGAGAAAAAGCGCCTCACTCCGTCGGCCACCTGGTGGGCGAGGACACGCGGGGCTGAGGCCCGCATCACACCACACAGCTACCAGCCCTGCGCGCCAGCCTCCCCCAGGACAGCGGCGGATGGATGTGCGCCCGGGCGGCTGGCTGGGCCGTCCCGTGTGGGCTCCCGCCCCAGCGCCCCAGGACGTCGCGTCGGCGGACCCGAGCGGGGTGCGCAGGAAGACGCACGGCATGAGGCTTCTAGGCGGTTCTGTGGGGACCACCATGTGAGCCCCAACAGGCCCGACTGCGAGCCGGACAGCAGGCAGGGGCCCCAGTCGGAGGAGCCGACGACGGGGTGCTGTGTCGCGGGCGACAGAGCGCCACTGTTCCAGGCCAGGGAGCACCGAGTCGCTCCTGGCAGCCAGACTACCCCCGCGGGCACTGTGTCTGTGGCCCCCTCTGCCGAGTGCCGCATGTGCCGTACCTGCCGCGGGGAACACATGTCTCTCCACATGGTGACGAGCTTGCAGAACATGCTGTAGGGCCCAGCCTTGGCGATCTTCCGGAGCCTGCCGTAGACGGACAGCTCCGCGTACGTCATGCCCATGTCCCCCTGCGGAGAGGGAGAGGCAGCAGGCCAGCGCTGGAGGAGAGCTTGCGGCCCCAGTGCCCACGGACCTGAGACCTGGGGGTGGGCAGGTTCCCACGGGGCCACGAGCAGGAGCACGGGCTTGCTCCCCCTCACCGCCCGGTGCCACGGAGCCGGCATTAGGAGAAAGGACCAGCCTGGTTTTGAGGGCTGTGACAGACTGAGCTCTGTCCATGCTCCAAGCCCCAGAACCCGCAAACTGTGGGTTTAATTGGGAAAACAAAGGTCTTTGTGGATGTAATTAAGTGAAGGATCTTGAGATGAGACAGCCCCGGATGTGGGGGCTTTTATACGAGACGGAACAGAACGCCCAGGGAGAAACTGCGTGAAGACAGGGTGGGGGGGCGTGGCTGAAGCCCAGGTAGCCCCGGGGAGCTGGACAGAGGACCCTCCCCTGGAGTGTCCCGCCAGGAGTGTGGCCTGTAGACGACCTGATTTTGGCCTCTGGGGCTCCAGAATGGTGAGAAGGTACAGGCCTCTAGTTTAAGGTGTCGGCCGGTGGGTTTGGCTCCAGCAGCCCCAGGAGGCCGAAGCCAGGACCAAGGCCAGGCAGGGCCCCCCTGCAGACCGGCCCTGCGCCCCGCCCCAGGGAGCCCGCTGTTCCTAAGGACGGACGGCTCAGCACAGATACCTGGGTCACGCTGGCCACGGAACGCCCCAGGCCAGCTCGAAAGAGCCAGCCTCACACTGAGGCTCACACAAGTCCCTTTTGCATTTCTCAGTATTTGCTCTAATCCCCCCTCAACTCCCACTGTGCCCCAGAATATACAGCCAGAGCCATATAAGAGAGTCAGACGATGACGCTGACATTTCACGACACGGCAGGACAGCCCTCACCTCCAACCAGGACCCCCTGTGACCAGGCCCTCCTCCCTGCTCCCCACTGCCCACCCTGGCCTTCCCTCAGGCCTCAGCTCCAATGTCGCCTCCTTGGGGTGGCCTGTCCTGACCCCTATCGGAGGGACACGGCCACCTTCGGGTCACCCGGGTCAATGTGTGGGCAGCACTAGGAGCCACCTGGGGCCCTCATGGTTACTTCCCGCTTGTGTGTCCCAGAGCCTCACATAAAAATGGCAGGCCCAGCTGGCTCACTGCTGAGCCCCAGTGCCTAGCGGGTCATGCCATGGACCTCCTTTACCGCTTTCCTCTGCGTGAGGAATATTTTCTAGTGCAACATTTAATTCCCTAGCTTCAACAATAATAGTTGGAAATTTAATACCCCACTTTCAATAATGCACAAAACTAGACCAAAAAACCAACAAGAGGAGAGAAAACTCAAAACCTACACACTGACTAGACCTAACCAATCTCTCTAGAACATTCCACCCACAACTGCAGAGCAAATATTCTCCTCGAGGCACACGAAACGTTCTGCAGGACAGACCAGATGACAGGCCATAAAACTGGCCTCCGTGAATTTCAGAACACTGGAGAAGTCTGCTCTCCGACCATAAAGAAACGGGATCACAAATTCAGTGACAGATGGAAATCTCAGGAACTCATGAACATGTGGGAATCAGACCGCACGCTCTCAAGTAACCGACAGGTGAGAAGAGAAATCACGAGGAAAATTAGAACATGCCTGGAGATATGCGAAAATGAAGACGTGGCATCTCTGTGTGGGGCCCAGGGGTGTGGCGGTAAGGGAGGAATTTTTTAAAAAAGAAGACCCCACTTTCCACCTTATGCCACACGGGGAGAAGTGCAAACTGACCCTCGAACATGTGGCAGGGACAAGAAAGAGAAGACAGAAAGGAGCTGCAAAGTCAGGTGCTTCTAGACATGGGCAACGAACCACCCAAAAATGAAACTTGGAAAACAATTCCATTTGCGAGAGAACAAAGAAGATAACATGCTTAGAAATAAGTAACAAAACAAGTGCACGCTCACGCTCTGAAAGCTACAAAACGTTGAGACAGTAAGAGGCCCGAAATGAAGACGGAGACATGCCACGTCCAGGGCTCAGAATACCTCATATTCTCAGGGGGCAACACCTGCCAAATCGAGCTACCGACTCAGCGCACCTGCCGTGGAAATCCCAGGTGGTGCCGTGTGTGCGGCAGAAAATGACACCCTGATCTCAAAATTCATATGGAAATTCCGAGGGCCCAGAACAGCCAAAATTACGTTGAGAGAGAGTGACAAAATTGGAGGACTCCCACTTGCCGATATCAAAACTTCCTACCAAGCTGTGGTGACTGAGTGAGTGAGGTACTGGGACAGGGATGGACACACAGGTCAGTGAAACAGAGTCTGGAAATGGATCCACACACTTACAGCCAACTGATTTCCACCAGGATGGCAAGATACTCCGCGGGAGAACCGTCTCTTCAACAAGACGACCAAGTGGGATCCCTTCCTCACACCACACACAAAAACTACCCCAACCAGGTCGCGGCCTTAAATATAAGACTAAATCTACACTCTTGGGATGAGCACAAGTAAATCTCTGTGACCAAAGGTGCTGGAGGCAGAACGGTCAGTTGTCACAGATTCTGCAACGGCTCACGGCCACTCCAGCCTCGACCACGGAAGCTGCACGCCACAGCCTATGGCCCTGACCGGCCCTCATCGCTTGCAAGCCAGCATGGGATGCCAGGGTCAAGAGTGATTCCTGTGAGGTTGCGCCCCTGCTACCTGCAAGAGACTTGCTCCACTCACTGCTCCGTCTGGGGGGTCAGCCTCAAGAAGGCCGAATCGAAACGTCCAAGGTCAGCAGCAGGACAGGCGCTGAGCCCTGGGCTCCCTGGTTGCTTGGGGCAGAAAGGAGGCCATGGAAGAGCCCAGCATGGACATGAGGAAACAGGGAGATGGGGAACGGTGACAAAGCCACCGGCACTACCTCATCTGTCTGGGACACCCGTCCATCGGTCAAGGGCTCCAGCTCTGCGGTGGCTGGTGCTGCCAGGATGCTGCGGCCAAGACACATGGAGGTTAGCCGTGGTGGCTACCACAGAGCTCGTGAGCATGGGGAGAAACCCCCAAACCAACTGTCCCAGGAGCAACGACCGGTCTCCAGCAATGCCCCTGTCAACCCCGAGCTGGGGCTGGGCTTTCCTGGGGAGATAGACGTGGATGTCGGGGGGCTTTGTGACCTGGGGAAAGAACTGACAGCAGGGGCTACCCCACGGGCAGGTCATGTGTTCTTGTGGGGCCGTCCTGGGCAATGCAGGCCACCTAGGGGCACCTACCCACTAGATGCCATGAGCACACTGCTACCATCACCTACAAGGTCTAAAGACATCGCCCAACGTCCCTGGGGGGCCCAGGGGAGCACTGGCGCGAAGGGGGCTGCCGGGTCACGGCACCCCAAGTGCCCGCTGAAGGGCGGGACTGTTTCCAACAGGCAGGAGGGAGCTGTGGAAGGGGCCGATGCTGGGCGCAGCTGTGGTCTCACGGGCGGCACTCACCCCTGCAGGGCAGGGAGCTGGAAGCGCTCCAGGCAGAACTGGACGAAGGTCTTCAGGTCCGTCTTGCTGATGCCACCGATGGGGTTGATGTCCGCACTGGAGCAGTCATACTTGGTCAGGTAGCCGAGGAGACTATGGGGAGAGAACACGGGATTTCCACATGGCTAACCTGAGGCACTGCAGATCCTGCCTGGGGTCCGAGCCCTTGTCAACACCCGGAGCCAGAGCTTGGCCAGCTGGAGGGTCTCAGACACGCCTGGCACAGCCGGAGCCGTCCACAAAGGGGCCGAGGCGGCAGATGACCAAGGGGAGGTACCTGGCACTCCTCAGAAGGCGTGGGAGCTGGGAGCAGCATGTCTGAAGGCCAGGGCTGGCAGAACGGGGGGCTGAGGGCTGAGCCCATGGCGGCCGGGCCACCTCCCCACGCCTGTGAGCTCCCCCTCCCAGATACCTCCTGCGGGGGGCTGAAGAGTGGCCTCCAAACACACCCACATCCTCTACCCAGAACCTGTGAACATGGGACCCCAAGGCCAATGGGGCTGCAGACGAAATTAAGGTGAAGACCTCGAGGTGAGGCTCTCATCCTGGATTGTCAGATGGCCCTAAATGCACTCACAAGCATCCTTACGGGTCTAGGAGGAAAGTGGGGGGCAGGGCCGGAGGAGGGTGCTGTGAGCCGGGAGGAAGGTAGAGATGCCGCCCCGCAGGCTCTGCTGGGGGAGGGAGGGACCCCGAGCTCCAGAAGGAACCAGCCCTGCCAACAACTTGAGTTTAGCCCAGTGAGATCCATACTGAACTGGGTTCGTACAGAATGGCGAAAGGACACTGTGTGCTTGGGCCACTGACTCCCTGGTCGTTCGCTACCCACACCGTCCAGGGGACGCCTCCCTCTACACCCACCTCTGGACAGCAGTTCTCCACCCACATCCCCAGGCCCCCCCACCGCCCCCACCCTCCCACAAGGTGATTCCCGACCCCGCCATGTGTCCCTGAGCCCCCTTGCTGGTGGCCTTCCAGGGCCCAGCCTCTGCCTGCGTCGCCCAAGCCCACACTTCGACACCAGCACCAAAACAGCTGCTCGTTCTGCCTGACGTCCTGCGCCTGGTCTGGCTGAAAACACACCTGTCCCATGAGCATGGGGCCCCCTCCACCCTCACAACTGACCTCCTGCTGCTCGAGAGAAAGACCCAGGTCTCGTTCCTCCTCCAGACTCCTGCCACAGAGCAGGGCCTCGGGCGTAAGACCTCCAGAGCACCAAACAGAGGAGCAGGTAAACCTGGTGCCGCCTTGAGTGGGGCTCCTCCCATCCACCCCGAGGTGGGCGCTCCACCGCTCCCCCTCCTGTTGAAGGGGCGGCTGAGTGGGGACAGGGTCTGCTGGCCAGAGGGGACGATGGGCTCCATCCCACCACGTGCCTCCTCCAGCCTGCTCCGAGAAGCACCGGGAGCTGACAATGTCCGGCTGGGACAGTCCACTAACAGGCAGGTTCACAGGCTCCAACAGCCGGCCCCCTCCACTCCCGTGAGCACAGGTAACGCCTGACGGCTGCCACCTTCCTGTCTTCCCTTGGCCCATGTGCCCCTGCCCCCCAAGCCGAACCTCTCGGGGCTGCGTCCATTCCCCTCCTGCTCTCTCTCGAGCTTCGCCGCCAGCTCCCTGCCCTGGCCTCTCCAGTAAAAAGCTGCCAGTCCTCCCCATACCTGAGTGACAAGCACCAGCCACCCCGAAACAGCCCCTCTGCCCGGCTCTGGGCGCCTGTCCTCCTGGTTCCAAGCGCACCAGCTGGGTGCTCATCGGCAGCTTCCTCGTATCGGAATCTGGGCCCCCCGACCCACTCCCTTCTCTGTCAACATTCAGTCCCACAGGCCCAGCTGCCCTCGTAGCTTTAAATGGCATTTTGCCGTCTGCAGACTTCCAGATTTGGGGGTGCGGCTCACACCGGGGCTCCAGAATCCCCATATGACTGCCCACCATACACCTCCATGGGCGTGTCTGGAAGACGTGTCAAAGCCGACATTCCCGGCACTGGACCCTGACCTCCCCACCCACTTCCTGCGCCTCCACATCCGGCCAAACGCCGGTCCGTCCTTCCGGTGGCTCGGCTCGGCCATCCTCACCCCACGTCTGGTCCACCAGCAAATCCTGTCGGTTCTCCCTGTGATGCCAAAATACACCAGGAGCCAAGCACGCCTCGCCGTTCCCCCGCCCCCCGCCCAGGCAGCGTGAACTGGTTGGTGCTAAGCACTGCTCTCCTTCTGGGAGTGAAAGCCTGGTCCATGCCAGGGGGATGGGGCCCATGTGACCAGCCCCCGGCGCAACCCCTGGGCACGGAGTCTCTGACACGCTTCCCTGCTGTCACAGGTGTGGCCGGGGAAGGAAGCACATCGGTGACGCTCCCCTGGGAGATGATTCTGGAAGCCTGGGCCTGGTTTTCTCCATGTGCCTTCCACTCTACAACCTTTGGCTGTAATCAACCACAGCCATGAGTACGGCCGATGCTTGGTCCATCTCCCAGCGGATCACGGGACACGGGGGTGACGGCTCATTCCTGCAGGCTCCATTGCACCAGGACCCGGAGTCTGTGGCTCACCTGGCCTCTGCCTCATGCTCACTCCTCCTCACCCCTCCTTGCGGCTCCTCAGCTCCCGCGTCCCTCTCTCTCTGCCACCCTCGCCCGGCTCCCATGCTCCACACGCATATGCAGCTGGACACGGCTGGCTGCAAAGTGCGACCCCACCTCCGGGGCGTCCTTAGAGCTGGCGCTGCCCGCCTGGTTCCCTGACCTGTCTCGCTTGCTCATCACCACTCCCCTCAAATGCCCACCACCCGCCCCGCACCCCTGCTCGGCTGGTGACTGCTTCCTGCCTCGAGAGGGCAGTCGCAGCCCCGACCCTATACCTCCCCCCACCCGCATCTGGGCCGTCCACTCTGCGGCCTCCTGCTACTCCACGGACACACTAGCTGGGCTCCCAATAAAGCCGGCCCCTCGCCTGGCCGCCCGCTCCCACCTCCTCTTGACGGCACAGCAGCTGTCCACCCACGTCCCCCTTCCTCATCAGCAACTGCTAGACCTCTCTCATCAAACCTTAAGAAAACACCTTCCCCTCTCACTGCTCCTGCCAGCTTCCACCCTGCACCTTCCCTCTCCTGCAGGTGAAACTTCTAGAAAGAGCCGACCCGCGGCCCTCACCCAACACTCTCCTCCAAGCTGTCCCAGCTGGGCTCCTGGGACCTCCCTCGGACAAGATGGGGCTTTGCAGACAGGTGACAACCGCTCTCTGTCCCGGTGGGCTCTCACCACAGGACATTTGCATAGGCCGTTCTCCTGGCTGCATTTCCCCTCCTCCTTTATAAACCAACTTTTCAGAGAGGACTTCCCTGGCCACCCTACTTACAAGCCCAAATGCCCAAACTTTCCCCGCGCCTACCCTGGTTTTCTCTGTAGCCTTTCCACTTCCTACATACGTGATTAGTTTTCCTATTACCTGTCTCCTTCCACTAGAATAAAATGGGAATTAGTTTGCTGTGTTGTTCACAGCACCAAGAAGACCACCTGACATGTGGCACACGTTTTATCAATTCCTTGAGTGAGCAAATCAGAACGCAACGGAACCAAAGTTAGGATGAGAAGTAACGTTTAAACAAGAAGCAGCACAGCAGACACTCAGACTGGAGGCTCTACCCCGGTATGTGAGCAACGGAGGGATCGTAGACGGGACGCAGTGAGGGACAGTCGTCCCAGAGGGGACAGGAAACAAAGACAACAGAGGAAGCACAACTGAAAAGTTTTTGCAGCTGTAGACAGACTTCTATGTCCCGTAAGAGAGGCCTAGCTTTTAGCCTGGCTTTAAGCACCCAGAAGCCCATTCCCACCCTGGAAAAAAAAAAGAAATCACTGTTATTTTTTGCTTAAATATTAAATTCCAGAAAACAACGGATAAGAATTGTGATGGGAAATATTGCAATAAAATAATTATGGTAGTGGCACCATATCAAACATGACAAGTCAAACTCATGTTCAAAAGCAAACAAAACAGAACACATCAATATTCTCAACTACATCAGGTTCGGGATATGCACCAGCCGTCACACCCCACCTGAAAAATCCTTTCCTTACAGAAGTACCAGAGGTAACAAAAAAAGCAATGGAAATTGACAAAATGTGAATGAGAATGGGGAGAATTTTTTACCAGCTAAAGGGTGCTAATTTCAAATTGTCATAAGTAGGATATAGGATCCAAAAGTACAAAATAATATTTAACAGAAAACACGTTTGCAGACGTGCAAGGACGTAGATAGATTTAAGACATTCATGATACAGCTAGAAAGATGGATGGATGGATGACAGATGAGTGGACAGACTGATGGACAGATGGGTGGGTGAGTGGGACGATGGATGGATGGATGATGGTGGGTGGGTGGGTGGATGGACAGATGGACGGATGGATGGATGGATGGATGACAGATGAGTGGACAGACTGATGGACAGATGGGTGGGTGAGTGGGACGATGGATGGATGGATGATGGTGGGTGGGTGGGTGGATGGACAGATGGACGGATGGATGGATGGATAGGTGGGTGGATGGACAGTTGGACGGATGGATGGATGGACTGATGCATAGATGAATAGATGAATAAATGACAGATACATTTCTTGACCCCCTCTGCTAACAAGGCCCGCCGGAGAGAAACGGAGAAACCAAGGCTGGAGAAGTCCTCCCAGCTTCCGCTGCTCACCCTAACAGTCAGCTGAAATTTATCTAGAGAACAATAGAGAGACTCTGAGTTTTTTTGACCAGTGAGCAATACAAGGAAGTATTTCAAATCCACATCAGAGATGAGGTATCTGCTTGGGAGTGAAAATTGGACAGAGCAAGGACCTAGGATGCAGTGGAACTACCCAGGAGAGAGATGGGTGAAACCAAGAGAGGTGGAGTGGGGAGACAGATTCCAGACCCAGTGCAAAGGAAGAGCCCCAAGGCAGGGGCAGCTGGTCTGAGCCGGGCCGGTGGGTGGGGAGCCAGAAGGAAAGTGTTGACCTGTCTCCACATCCGAGTCATCGGGAAGGTTTGAAGTAATGACGTCCTGTGGGTACCAGACGTGGCCTGTGCTGCGGGGTGATGTGACCCCCACAACGTGTGTCTCACAGACGCAGTGAGAACGGGTGGGGGCCTGGAAACACCGTCTTGGGGAGCAAGCACCCTCGGAGATCTGGGGTGCTCGGGAGTCGGGCACACGCACCTCTCATCCACGTTGGCCGATCCAAGCACCAGCAGTCCACCGTGAGCGCCCCGGGCCCAGAGGCTCAGCTGAGCAAAGAGATAGGCCACGACCATCCTTAGCCGAGCCTGGGGGACACGACAGGAAGCGTCACCCTATGCTGGACATGGGAGGACACATGCACACTGGCCCCCGCCCCCCATACAGCTCCAGGGAAAAGGGCCCCAAGTAGCGTAGATTTCTAGCGTCCAGAGAAAGCAGGGTCCTCCGGGCCTGACAGCTGCCACGGCACTCATGCACGCGTGGCGGGCGGCACCGTATCCCAGACGGACGGACCCGGAGCCAGGGAGCCGAGAGAGCTCCGGGGCAGGATGGAGCTGCAAAGAAATCTCGGCCCCTTTTTGCACCCCCTTCACAGCCAGTGTTTCCGGAGGAGGGAAGGCCGCTGTGGCCAAAAGAAAAGGGAGAGAGATGGGACAGAGCACAGCAGCTGGAGCCCAGGGTCCCTCTTTCCCTCCACCAACCAGCCAGTGTCTGGCTCCCCTGCGGGAGCCCCAGGCGTAGGGCGTGTGGAGCCACTCCCTGAAGATGCAGAACCCTCACACCTGCGTGTGCACGCCTCCCCCACCACCTCTAACGCACACGCTTGTGCACTCACACGCAAGCACACAAGCTTCCACCTAGGCAGCACTCTCGGACAACCCTGTGTCCTCTAGCTCTTGCACACTCACACACGGGTGCAAGCACACCCTCAGCCTTGTCCGTGAGGCCCCCGGGCTCCCTGCGGCTCCCGCGCGGGGACAAGGGCCTGGCTGGGAAGCTCACCTGCACATTCTGCAGGGCCAGGTTCTCCCTGCTGCTTCCTCCGTGAACCGCGAACAGAGGCCTTTTACCCGTCACCAGGCTGAAGATGCCCATGACGGCCTTCACCGCTGGGTCGATGTTGAGCCCGACGTGGTGGCTACCGGGGAAAGGGCAGGGCGGGTGTGCCTGGGTGTGTGCATGCACATGTGGTCAAACACACGTAAGGCCGGATTCCCCATTCCAGCCGTGTGAAAGCGCAGGCTCGGGGTGAGCTCACAGGGCTATGCAGCCGGCATCTCCATCCGGTTCCAGATGCGCCTGCGCCCCAGGGAGCCCGGTGCCCGTCCGCACCCGCCCTGCTCTCTGCCCCCGTAGGGTCGCCTATCCTGGGCATTCCCGCGGTCCCTGATGCTTAGTGCCGGGCGGGGTTCACCGAGCATCACATTTTCCAGGGTTGTCACGAGGTAGCAGGTGTCAGAGCGTCCTTCCTTTCTGAGGCTGACAGCTACGCCATTCTCTGCCCAGAACTCATCTTGTTTACTCATCCATCTGTCACCCAACAGCTCGAGCTGCTTCTGCACTCAGGCTACTGTGTGAGCCTGGGCACAAATGTCTGTTTGAGCCCGTTTTCAGCTCCTTGGGGGACGTGGCCAGGAGCAGCACGGCTTGGGGGCTTTAGCTGAGCTCGGCACAGGCAACGGGCAGTGCTGCACTGTTCCCCAAGCAGCAGAAGAAACGAAGAGCCTGAATGGACCGAGGCGCCCCATCGGGAGAGAGGCCGCCCCTCCCCCTTCCCCAGGTACAGGAAGCCGGCTGGGTGGGAGAGGGTAGCGGCCAGCACAGAGCCTGCACACTCCCCAGAGTGGCGAGCGGGGTCCCGGGCTCCCACACGGGGGTGCCCACGAGCCCTGCTGGCCGGCGCCTGGGACGCAAGGACGAAGGGAAGGACGGGTGGCAATCAGACACAGCTAGGGTCTGGGGGGAACGGAAACAGTCTCCCTCAAACCTGGCTCACGAGAGACCGTAGCAACCTGCTCAACCCTGGACACGCATCTAAGCATGAGTGTGGGCTTGGGCGGGGCCTCAGGTGGCGCGGGTCCCGCCGCAGCAGCCCCCCAGTGCCGGCCACCTCCTCTACCTTCCGATTTGCCGGGCCAGCTCCCGGGCTCTGTCACACGTCTCCTGGGACGAGTTCTCACTGGCCATGTAGCAGGTGGTCAGCACACGCCCGCAGAGCTCCCGGGGGTCCTGGGGGGTGTAGCTGAGCTGGTCCACGATGACCCGGACGTCAGCCAGCACTTCCTGGTCTGAAAACCACCAGACGGCGGGTAGCAGGTAGCGGCCCCTGGCTGTGCGCGGGGCTCAGAGCCCAGTCCCTCCCTTCACTCAGGCAACGTCTCCACCTACAGAGCCTCTCCCTCGTGTTTGGGGGCACGCCAAGGGGATATTCGACACAGGGTGCACGGGGGAGGACTCTGACCTGGGTTTGCCTGAGCCCGAGGCCGGGGCCACACTGCCGGCGCCCAGCAGCGGGCGGAGGGCTTGATGGACACGGCCACATGGGCCCGAGCCCCAGGAAGGGGCTTTAATGGCCTGCTGTCCCCAAGTCCTGCTGGGACATCTGAGCACATGTGCAGAGCCTCCTTCCCCCATGATGGCCAGGACCCGGGGTTCTCCTCAGCCCAATCCCCACCCCCGGAACCTTGCTCAGACCAGCGGACGCCACCTACTTCCATGCTTCACGGCCTCGCAGACCTGGTGGCACATGGAGTAGACGAGGCAGGCGGTGGCCGCGCTGTCCACCCCGCCGCTCAAGGGCAAGAAAAACCCGGCCTGGAATGGGCCAACCAAAGGCAGGTGTGAGCAGAGCCTCGGAGGAGCAACTTAGCCCAAACTTAGCCCAGCTCCACCCACAGACGGTGGAGGGGAACAAAGATGTGCTACACATTTCAGATGGGTTTTCCAGAAAGAAAAGAGCCCTCTCGCCGTGAAGGGCTGTAAAGGGCATGTAGGACTCGCTCTGCCCAGTACAGACATCAGGCGCACGGGACCAGTGGGGGATGCTGTCTCGTCACTCTGAGTGTCATCAGACAGGACTCCAGAGATGGAGCCAAATCTCCGCGTGCCCTCTGGCCTCTGCCTCACATAGACTAAGCTCCTGATGGAAGCAGCGTGAATAAAAGAAAATCCCTAGGCTGCCATGGAATCAAACACAAACACTGGACATCTTACCTGCCGGCTGCGTCTCAGAAAGTCCCAGAGCCAGCACGCAGGTCCGAGGCTGGGGAGCAAGGGGACACGTGAGGTCTGAGAGCCGCTGACCTGGTCTGCAGTTTACCTGGGGGCAGGCGCCCAGGCAGGAGCAGCACCAGGCAGAACTGCCGGGGGGAGGGGCCCTCCCGATTCACCAAGTCTCTGTGTTGAGCACTTCACGGGAATTAATACATTTTTGTCTCCCAACGGCCCTGGGAGGTAGGTGATTATCTTTTGGCCCCATTTTGAAGCAGAAAAACTAAGACACAAAAAGGAAAGGACAGGCAGGGCCTCTGTGCCCAAGGCCCCAGCACCAGGACGCGGCAGGGCTGGGTGAAGAAGCCAGGCCGACTGGCTGCTCCCCCGACGCCCTCAACCCCGATGCCGCATGGCCTCCTCCTCACTGAATGGCCACCCCGGGCAGGTTCTGAGAACCAGCCGCCCACACTGCTCCGGCCCCCGCCCCCCGGCACGGTGCCCCGGGACCAGACCACCCCTCCCTCCCTGTGGGCAGAGGCCGCCCACCTGATCTCCTCAGCGGGACTGTGGTACTTCCACTCGACGGGCTCTGACGGCGGCTCCAGCAGGTCGTCGTGGCACGAGAGGGCGAAGTCCACCTTCACGCGGGGGTAGGGGCTCACCTTGCTGGCCTGCTGACGGAGATTTGCGACAACATGACGCCCCCGCGGCAGCAAGCCCGTGGGAACGGGCCTCAGAGCCTCAGTGGTGCCGTGGCTCCAAGTGGGATGGCTGGAGTCGGAAAGACAGACGGGACCCAGCGTTGGAAGCCTCGCACGTGGAGGGGCCTCTGCTGTGGACGGTCTGACAGTCCCTCACAGATAAACGCACGGGGTGACCGTGTGGCCCAGCAGCTCCCCTCCCAGGTGCACACCCAAGAGAAACCGTCCGCACAAGATCTCGTACACACGTTTGGAGAGCATCATTCATCACATAAAACAGACACGGTCCCCGTGTCCTCAGTGGCGGCTGGATCATCACTGTGTAGCACGCCCGTTCCGTGGGCCATTGTTTGGCTGTAAAAAGGCACAAAGCCCTGACAGCTGCTGGACAGGGACCCTGCGGACGTTGTGCTCAGTGACAGAAGCCAGATGAAATTTCATCTTCGTGCAACGCCCACAACCCAGAGACCAAAGGCAGGCTGGTGGTTGTGCGGGGCAGGAGGGGGCTGCAGAGCGAGGCTAGAGGCTCTGAGTTTCTTTTGTGCTGACGTGCGGACGGCTGCACGACCCCGTGAGGATGCCTGAAACCACCGCACCACGGTGTGGCACGGGAATAACAGCTCAATAACGCAATCAGTAAATAAAGAATTTAAGAAGAGTACCCGGGGCGTTGTCAGGCACCCGCGTGTGTCTCTACGAACTCACCGCCAGGTTGCGAGATGAAATCTCCGCCCTGTAGCTTCGGACGTCCTCCAAATCCAACGTCGCGGTGAGGACTTCCTGGAGAAGGGGTTTCAAAGAGAAAGCGTGTTTCCTGTTTCTCCCACTCGCACATGTGATTTGGCTGTTCTCATGGGTGTGCCAGATTGCAGGACTGGGGACCTGTGGGCTCCCAGGGGCCCAGGGAGAGGGGACAGCCAGTGTTGTTGCTGACCCAAAGCCCTTCCCTCTCGCTGTTGCCCCCAGAGCCCCCAGTGAACTCAGACACGTGGCAGCCTCAATCATGGCACAGGACCCGATTCTGCCGCGGGCTTCTGCCGCGGACTTCTGAGACAGCTTCTCCCCTTTTAAAAAGACTGTCGGGAGCAAGGGCCCCTTTTCTGCTTCACTCGTGGCTGTGTGGAGATGAGACAGCCAGAGCTGCTGCAGCCACCCTGTGACCAGGAGGAGAGGCAAGCCCAGATCCAAGCCCACACAGAGCAAGGCCGGGCTGGAGTACGGCAGAGAGGTGGAGCCACAGACCCGGAGATCCATGCGAGGGGCCTGGCTGTGCTGCCTGTGTGATCGCGGCGACACGTCCCTGCCTTCACACCCAGATGAGACAGGAGTATTATGAGTAAAAAATACCACAAGATAGAAAAAGAATAAACTTTTAAAAAACGGTAAAAAAGTTTTAATTCATTTATATTATTCCTATCTTCATAAAAAATACTCCTAGCCAACTTATGTCACTAGAATATTGTGTCATTGCGTGCAAGTCGGGGGTAGCGGGAGCTAGTCCTGTGCACCACGGTGTGACACAGGACACTCCTGCTAACAGGCCTGTGGGCATCTGCCGCTGTCAACACCGGGCCCGACCCAGGCTGGACACTTCCACAAAGAGAAAAAGAAAATGGAGCTCATCTGCCCTTTGGTCCTCCTGTCATCTCCCAAAGTGATGGGCCACCAAGGTCAGCCACCGTACTTCCCATGTGAAAAAGCCAAGGGAAGAGTGAGGCCACAAAAAACAAAAACCAAAAACTATGGCTTGAATCTTTTCATGAGAAGGTCCATTCCACTTTTCCCCAAAACAGGTTAGCATCAACATAAACGCCTGACCGAGGCATCCATGGTGCCAGCCAGCCCCCGAGGTTCAGAAGACCCCGAGGAGCGTGTCCTAGGGCACGGTCTGCAACTCTGCCGCTCTGTGCAATGGCTCTGTGCGCCACACAATCTCTTCTGATCATTTTGGGCGGATCACGGAGGATGTGGCAGGACAGCATGGCCCGAGGATGGTGATGCTCTCTCTCCCTGAACGCTCGGACAAAATCAGATAATTCCAGCCCGCGAGCCCCCTCGGGGAAAAGGGTGGCAATGGTCCCCGGGTTTTCGTGTGCTTACGAATCACCTGGGTATGTGCTTAAAATGCAGATCCCCAGGTATCCAACCCTGAGGCCTGGCTGGGGCCCAGAGCCTGCAGGGGCCCACACGCCCGCTTCTCCTAGTGCAGGTGACCCCAGTCCACTGCCAATCAGTCCTGGGCAAGGTGCCCGCGGCTCTGACATGCGGCCCAGTGTCTGGGCCACATCGACCTGGCCTGAAGACAGCTGAGCATTCCGACGTGGGGGCAGGGCGGTGTCAGGCCTACAGCTGACATGCACACGCCTGGACGCGTGGGCAAGAGCGAGTGGGTCTCAAGTGGCCTCACCGAGCTCCCCTCTGCTCCACTCCTGTGGATGAGGCCCCCCACCAAACGCCCCTCCTCGCTGTGGGGACCGGTGCCTGCTTATTCCCGAGGCGGCTCCAGCTCCACGTCCTCCCGGGGGACCCAGGGGTCCCCTGCTCTGCTGTCACCACACAGCCTGCTCCCCCTGGGGCAGTCACACCCAGGGGCGCGCGCGAGCTCACTCCTACCACGTCGTCCAGGGAGAACTGGGCCCCCTGCGCGAAAATGCGGCCGTTCATCGCGATCAGGGCGCAGCCATCGTAGTAGAGCCGGTCCCCGTCACAGCCCTTCTGATTGGCCAGCAGGTAGATCCCCCCGTTCTGAAAACGCGAGTGGCAGCGGGATGTCACCTGCCCTTCCTCGGCCCTCCCGCCACACCATAAATAGCGCCCCTGCAGGGAAACTGCCTGCACGCAGCGGGGACCTGGGGGTGTGAGCCCGTGGCCACTGGACGCCGCGAACCAGGTGCCCTGCTCTACAGGCAGGGGTAGGAGCGCCTGCCTCCCTGGGGTGCGGCCAGGGTTAAATGAGGTCAGGCAGGTGGGGCCCCAGAAGAGGAGCCCGTGCACGTTAGCTGAGCACGGGCCACAACTACAGGCACCGACGCCCACCACGCGTCCTTGCCGCCTGGGCTCTGGGGACTCGGGCGTGTGGGACGCGGCACCAGCTCGCAGCATGCACGCTCCAGCCTCGTAGCCCAACGCCTACCTTGGTGGTGGCCATGGTCACCAGATCCACCCTGGCGTGGGCTTTGCGCAGCACGTGGTGGCTGCCCGAGGCGTTGGTGAAGATCTCCACGCCGTCCAGACCCATGTCCACATGTGGGCTGTGGGCAGAGGCGGCTGACAGGAAGTGACAGGCTGCGCGCCCTGCCCTGCCCTCCCAGCCCCGATGTCTCCACAGCCCAAGGCCATGCCGCCAGGGCTGCCGTGCACATGGGGCCGAGGCTGACCTGTGGGGCGTCCAGAGCTCCTCGCAGATCTCGCTCCCGATGCAGGTGTCCCAGGTGGCCAGTACTGCGTCTCCAAAGGGCACAGTCTCCTGCAGTCGGAGGACAAAGTGCACGAGATCCCTCGGCCATGGTCTGTCCAGGCTGCGTCCTGACCTCGCTGCCCTTCTTCTCCTCCCAGCCCCAGCGTGGGAGCATTCCCAGCCCAGGCAGCCCGGCACCAGAGGGAATCTCACTGGCCGGACGCTGTGCTCTGCGTGGCTGCAGGGCTCACTGTGGCCGTGACAAACTGTCACTCCACTCTTCAAGTTTCCTTGGCACAAATCCCCACGGTCATCTTCGTTATTAAGAGTAAAGGGTCTCAGGGCGCCTGGGTGGCTCAGTCGTTAAGTGTCTGCCTTTGGCTCGGGTCATGACCCCAGGGTCCTGGGATCGAGCCCCGCATCGGGCTCCCTGCTCGGCGGGAAGCCTGCTTCTCCCTCTCCCACTCCCCTTGCTTGTGTTCCCTTTCTTGCTGTGTCTCTATCAAATTAATAAAATCTTAAAAAAAAAAAAGAGTAAATGGTCTCATTTGGCTGGCCGTGGCCCCATGCGCTTTTTTGTGTCACCCACACTCTCACCAGCCTGACCAGGTCGTCCCACCCCTGTGCCTGGAAGGACCCGAGGCTCATTTAAGAAACCTGAGCAAAGTCACCCAGCTCCCGAGGGGCAGGGCCAGGGTGCAAGCGTGTCCATCAGTAAGAACCACATTGACAAGCCGCGCGTGGCGGGAGCTCCCCGGGCAGGGGCAGAGGCACCCCGGCTGCCAGACCGTCGGAGGAGGCCCTGAGCCTACCACGCGCTGACTGGTCACATGGGTGTGGGACGCTGTGGCGGCACGCCGACGCTCTGGGACAGGCCAGCCTGGGTCCAACTTGGCTACCTCCCTCCATCCCAGTGTTACACAAGTGCCATCCCCTTGTTCAGCCAAGAAATAATCCCGAGGCCTGGAACACATCCTAGAACGCTTGGCTTAGGCGCCCTGATGTGTGAGTTCGACACCCTTTACTGCTAACGGCGAGAGCCACAGTGTAAACCTGGCCCTCTCTTCTCTGATGCGTCCTGCCCCGGACAAGCTCACTGTGCGCTGTGGCTGTGAGGAGGGCCCTAACCCAGGACGCTCGCTGGCCGCCATGGGACTGCGGCGCCCCTGCCCCCCTGGCAAACGTGAGCACGTGGGCACGGCTGGAATCCACACGTCGTGAGAAAGCTCAGAGCAACAGGCTGGTAAACCACGTATCCGAAGCCACGCTCACTGACCACCCCCCGGCCTGAACTGTCCACATGGAGCGGGTCCTGGGCTGTCCTTGCCTTGTTCCTGGACACACCTCTGAACCTTAATCCCGTTACCCGGGCCTTCAATCAACTACCAGGCAAAACCCTTCCAACTGCAGACTGTCCCACGTCAGCCTAGTGCATCTCCACTGGGATGGGTTTTAGGACATACTACGGTCCCAGAAGAATGAAATGGGGAGCATCCTACCGTCAGGACCGTCGCAGACACGTCTGTTTCAGACACACACACACACAGAGTTTGTTCTGGGTCACGACGATTTCAAAGTGTGCTCACGGCTGCAGTTCATCGTCAAATGAGTTTCCAGGTCCCTCTGGAGGTGACCAGACCTGGCTGGGAGTCCCTGCCCAAACCTCAGCCGTGCCCATCCCTGACTGTCTGCGCAGAAGGCGCCGAGCCCAAGCTGGCCTCTGGAAGGGCCTCGCTCACGAATCAAAGCTCGTGCCAGAGACACAGTCCAGCTCCCGAGCAGAGGTAGCCTCCATCCGGGGGCCAGGGCGGCCACTGTCCTCCAGGGAAAAGGCAGAGGAAGCCACTGATGGCCAAGAGGCAAATGGAGCCAGAAGCTGGTGGGAATCAGGGGAGAGGGGCCCCTGCTCCAGCGCAGGTCCGTCCCTAAGGTCCAGCTGAATCCCTGTGAACCCCTCCACTGGACAGATTCTGTAAATCGCTATGAGCTACCTGGAGTGTAGTCATTAGGGGTACAGAGAACTCGGTGTTGTGGGCTCAACTGTGTCCTGCTCAGATTCCTATGTTGGAGCCCTGACTCCTAGCACCTCAGAACTTGACCGTATCTGGAGCTGGGGCCTTTACAGAGGTGATCGAGGTGACACGGGGTCACCGGGATGGCCCTGATCCTATATGACCGGAGTCCTTATAAGAAAAGGACATCAGGACACAGACCCGCAGGGAGGGACGGCCCCGTGAGGACCCAGGGAGAGCACGCCGTCCACACACGAGGACAGAGGCCTCGGGAGGACCCCGCCCTGCCCGCGCCTGCATCTCGGGCGTCGGCCTCTGGGACTGAGAGTTATCTGTTATTCAACATCGTCCCCTCCATCTGAGGTGCTTTTTTACGGCAACCTGAGCAAATTAATACAGCTGGCAACCAGCATGGGAACTCAGGCAGAAACTAGAGAAGTCAGGGCCCCCCTAGAGCACCCCCTCTGTGCCCCGGCTTCCAACCGCCTGTGGGAAGTGGATAGAACAGGGTTCCAGCTGTCACCCCAGCAGCTTCCCGTAGGAAGAGGGTGGACGTGGCCCCCAGATCAGGCTGGACGATCACAGCTCTGAAGGCCGGGCCAGCCAGGTCCAAAACACACGACAGACGAGATCTACTCCCAGATACTCACCTGCTTTGTCACGTCCTGTATCATCCGGGGGAGAAAATACTCCTCTGTCTGCCTGGGGAGGGGGGAGGGAAACACCACAGACCTGAGGACGAGCATCTCGGAAAGCAGGACAGATGGCATCCCAATGCGAGCAAATGCCAACCTGGGAGCTTCGAACCCACGGATCGGCAGAGGGCTGTCAGCTGCTCACACGTGCCTCAACTATCCCTTCAGAGAAAGGGAAGCATGTAGGGTGAACACAGAAAGCTCCGGTGCACTTTCCTTGTGGACACCATGGCGCCCAGGGGGCTCCGACTGACTCGGCTTCCCCACGCCTTGCTGTCCAGAGCTCCTGAGACACGTCACAGGCATTCTCTACAGGGTGGTCATGTTCCCCCAGGGAGAAATCCAGCCGGAATTCCTGATCAAAGTTTCTGAGTCCGAAAGATCACATTGCATTAACCCAATGCACAACTGCAAACCCATGTTATCACCGAGATGATAGAATTAGTCTCCCAACAGCACAAGACAGACAGAGTCTGACACACAACTTCGGTACAAGGCCTCCCAAGGGGCTACGCGGAGAGCCAGAATGTAAGAAATACAGGGTTCACAGATCCGACCTCAAATAGGCTGTTACAAGACGCACCACTAAAACGTTTAATTACATATATTTCTTTTTTTTTTCTGAGAAATGCACAAGAACCTCCCAGGATGACTTTAGCAGCTTTTACTTAAATTGTAACGCTCAGAAATTGGAGGGTGCTGCCTTCTCTCCTGCGCTAAGGATGGGGACAGGGACACTCGACCCTGCTGACCTCCGAGCCGCCCTGCCATCCCACAGTGAACTGTCTATCCACCATGGGCAGGTTTGTTCTCGGCAATGTCACTATGTCAAAATTCTCTTTAAAGGGAAGACCCCCGCACCAAGGTTTCTCCTTTCCTCTCCTTCCCCTCCACCCCCACGAAGACCCACTGAGTACCAGACAAAAGCAACACCACCAGGAGATGGTATGGGCTCACCTCCGTGTCCACTCTCTGCTCCAAAGCCAGCGAGCACCTCGTACGTGGCCGGTGAGCTTCTCCAGGGTTCATCAAGAGCCAAAATATCATGAGTAAAAGTCCCGCACTGCAGCCTGTCACCCAAAGCCTAGCTCAGGCTGGTCCAACCTCCTCCCACGGTCCCCACACCTGACTCCTCTGCATGGCCTAAGCCTTTCTCTAGCTGGATGCCCTTTCTTCCCAGCCAACATCCTATGGAAAAAACCTAGCTGCGGACTCCTGCCAAGAAACCAGTTTTGGCCATGCTGATTGCAAGCCTTCTCCATCCCCAAGGAGCTACAAGAGCCCCTGTGATCTCTGTCTCACCATACTTAAATCTGGGGGTACATCTAAAAACATAAGGAAAATGAGCAGATTCTTAAATTTCCTGCAGTCAAGACCCAGGTTATTTTTTTCTGTTTTCTTAGGAGACCTGAACTGTCATGCAGTCATTACTAAGGTGGGGACAAAGTAACATGCCCAGTTATGGAAACCACACTGGCACAGCGCCCAGAGGGTAAAAATCTCTCATTTCCACAGTGCCTAAGCGTGAGCTGGCTGCTCCAGCTCGGTGCCCGCCACCACCCCTTCCAGGGGCACAATCGTGAGAGCGACCGTCTGAAGGAGCCACCATGAGGCCCACACACCACACGACAGAGATGGGCGATCCCAGACTCCCAGGAAATTCAGAGACAACATGCCCCAATAAAAGATCTCAAAGCAGAGATGATGAGACAGTGGAAAAAGAAAAAGGGAGCCTGCAAACGGTGAAAGGGATCTGAAAAACTGCAAACGTGCACAGATCTGAAGAACAGAGCCTCCCGCAAGCACGGCACAGAGGACAGATTTAGGGGAACGAACCCCAAGAGAAAATACAGGTACGTGGGCAGAGAGCAGACGAAAGACCGGGGCCTGTGATGGCTGATATCGAAGGCTCCTGGACAAGAAGAGCAAAGAACAAAGGCCTCTGAAAATGGGAAATAAGAAAATGTTCCCAAAATTAAAGTCCCGACAGTAGGAGCACCTGGGTGGCTCAGATGGTTAAGCATCTGCCTTCGGCTCAGGTCATGACCCCAGGGTCCTGGGATGGAGCCCTGCATCAGCTCCCTGCTCAGCAGAGAGTCTGCTTCTCCCCCTGCCCCTCCCCCTGCTCGTACAATCTTGCTTTCTCTTGAATAAATAAATAAATCTTTAAAAAAATTAAAGTCCTGATGGTCAGGTCAAAACCACTGGGCACACATGGTTAGGACAGCAGAGGCCCAGCACAGACGAAGCCCTGCCTGCGGAGGAATGGCCCCGCCGACAGCTTCGCACCCTTATGGCCGGCGGTCGGTGCACCTGCTCTCGGCCCCGACGTGACTCACACTGTCCCCACTCTGTCCACACCCTGCCGCTTGCTGTGGATGTCCCGCCTCACCCCTGCCTCATCCCTGTGAGGTGCCCACAGGCTCAAGGCACACGGCGGGGGCGGGGGGGGGTGCTGCCCTTTACAAGACCCCTTAAAGTGGCGCCCTCGCCAGGACCTGGCACTCTCCAACCTTTTAATTTTACCGCTTGGGTGGCACAGGAAGAAATCTCACCATGGTGCCTGTTGATATCGGCCTGATTTCTAGCAATATCCAACATTGATTCACACGTTTGTTTTTTGCTTCTGTCAGATTTCTCCTTTGCTCTTTGTACCTTTATTTTTCTGTTTGAGTTTCTCTGAATATTTTTTCTGTTTTTATTGATTCAGGAGTCATTTAAATCCCTGAGCAATAACCTTTGGGCATTCGACAAATATTTGCTGGGTCCCCACCACCTGCCAGCACTCTTCTCAGAACCAAGGAAACCACAAGGACACGGATGCCATGTTAACACCTGCCACGCACCGCGCTCAGCGCTTTACACACAGACTCTGTCATCCCCACAACCACAGTGATCCCATAGGGATCACTGCCAGGACTCTCCCCAAGGTGCAGAGAGATCGGGTCCCTCTGCTGGCCCAAAGTGGCCCAGCTGAGTGGCAGAGGCAGGTTTGACCTCCCAACTCCAGAGACACCTGCTCTGTAAGGGCTGCAAACTAGCCCCTGTGCGGTTCAGTCAAGGAGGGTGCTCAAAAAAGGTGCTTTACATACGAAAGCATGAGAAAATGAGAAACAGCTCTCAAAATGAAAAATAAGATAGCTAAATTTAAATTTCAGTAGAGACAGAGAGTAAGATGATGGAATCTTCTAGAATGTGGGAAAGAAAAGATAAGACGACTAGAGGAAATGGTCCAGGAAATCGAATCCCCAATCAAGAGGCGTTCCAGAAACAGAAAATAGAACAGAAACTCGCCCAGAAAGAACAGGACAACCTTTCCCAAAACTAAGGGACCAGGGTCTCTGGGTCAGAGGGCCACAGAGGGCCTCACACAAGGGCCCAAAGACCCACACCAAAGCCCATATAACAAAATTTTAAAAGACCAAAGATGACGAGAAGCTTCTCCACGTGCCCAGGAGAAAAGAAAATAATCCCATTAGAGTGAAGACTCCGAGTAGCACCAGGCTTCTCCCCAGCAAGAGCACAAGCCAAAGGCAATCCTATACATGATATGTTTAAAACTATGCAGAAAAGTTATTTTTAACCTAGGATTTTTTTTTTTTAATTCTGCAAAACTATTCATCACATGTATGAGTCCAGTAAAGACGTCTGCAAGCAGGCAAGATGTTAAAAAGTTCACCTTTGGTGGATTGTTGCTTAGAAAGTATGACGTTATGATTTATCATAAGAAATGTATTTGGTCTTCCTGGCACTGAGCTCCTAAAGCCCTTGGATTTTCCGGAGATAAGAGCCGTAAAGGTGTTTTTACATTAATGGTGCCAGTGGGAAAGGCCCTCTGGTTGCCAGGGGAGCCAAGCCAGGGATCAGGAAGTTAGAGCTTTTGGACCCACCTCCAGACCTGGGGAGGGAGCCAGACTGGGGGTTGAGTTCAGTGGCCAAAGGCCAATGATTTCATGAATCATGCCTTGTAACGAAGCCTCCAGAAAACTGCAAAGAATGAGGTTCGGGGAGTTCTTGGGTTGGCGACCATGTGGAGATCTGGGGAGAGCAGTGCACCCCCAGAGCCTGCCCCGTGCATCTCTCCCACTTGGTTGTCCTGATTATATCCTCTTAGAGTAAACTGTGATCCGGAAGTCAACCTCAGAAGGGGGTGGTGGGAACCTCTGGAATATACTAGAAGCCACATGCCAGCAAATGAGCAACTCGTCAGAGACAGTGATGCAGGGGGCTGGTCAGCCCAGGACAGCGAGACGTCCCACAGAACTGTGCAGGAAGGGGGTGGCGAAAGTACAGAAAACCCCGAAGTTTTCCCACATACAACTATGCAGCATTTGAAGATACAACATTGAAAGCTGAACCTGCAGCAGCAGCAGTACCACATAAACACCAGGAACCCCAGCGAGAACAGCGGACAGGTTTCTCACCCAGGGGTGACCATGCCCCCAGGGGACATTTGCCAAAGTCAGGAGACATCCAAGGCTCCTCCTCCCTACGGGGGAGGCCAGGGAACCTGCCGCACCACTTGCCATGCAGAGGACAGCCCGAGGCCGCAGTGGACACCCTGGCGTACAGGATGACTCCGGACATGAGATGCCCGATGGGCCACGGTTGATGAGCTTTCTGTAATCAATCGGCCGTACTGTAACCATCAGCCTCAAGACAGCTGTACCTAAAATGTCAGGAACTTGCCCCAAATTCTCACGTACCTCCCCCAGGATGCGGACCACGACTCTGCCCAGGGAAGACATGAAACAAGCATCCACAGAGTGGCCACAACCCGTGCTTCCCTGCTCGGGGCACCGGGGACTCACCGGTTCCGTGACCATGGGGTGAACCAGCGCAGTTCCCGGTAGTTGCCTTCGTTGGCCAAGGCCATTTTGGGTCTGATGAGCAGGATCTTCCTACAGGGAGGAAAACAGGATGGCTCTTGAGATAAACACCCAGTCACAAGGGGCGGCCCACAGGTCCACCCTCCCCTGACGGTGGACGATGACTGAGCCGCCAAGACCCAGCAGGTGTGCTGAGCCGTGCGGGCAGCTGACGTCCGGGATCCACCAGGAGAGCAGGACACACCACCCTCCCTTGAACGGCAGCAGCCGTACCCTGTGGTCTTTCTCCTTCTAATACCCGAAGGTGACCGTGGTGGGCAGAGGCCAGAAGCAGTGACACTTGGGTCACCTGCCTGTATGTCGGCCCTAAGGACCAGACATTGCCGGAAGCTGCCTCCTAGCACACGGCTCCCAGGGAGCATGGGTTCTAGTGACCATGTGGTTCCCAGGGAGCATGCAGTTCCAGCGACCATGTGGTTCCCAGGGAGCACACAGTTCCAGCGACCATGCGGTTCCCACGGACCATGCCGGGAGCAGCAGAGCCTGGGGGAGGTGGTGCGTGGGGCACTCTCTCCCGACCGCCACCTACCTGTTGAGAAATATCACCCTGCAGTTGTAGCGGACATTCCGGTGCATGACAGGCCTGTGGAGAGAGGGGGCACACACGTGTCTGTGAACAGCAAAATCGTATGTCTGTTTTCGTACGAAGCCTCCTCGAGCCCTGGAGGAGAAGCAGAAATCTCCCCGATAGCTTTCTCAGAGGGTTTCTGCCCTGGAATAGGCTCTAAAGCAGGAGAGACTCTTCCAGTGGAGCGCAATCATTCCCTCTCAGGGCTCTTCCTCTCTCCTGGCATGTTCTCAGACCTTCCAGTGGCTGCCTCCCCATCTGCACGCAGCCCTGTCACCGTGTCACCTCTCCGTCCCCTACTGGCCTTAGGCACCAGCCCCAGCGCCTTCCTGGTTCTCCTTCAGAGCACCTCCTGACCTGTGGCCTGCACCCCTTCCATTTGCCCACCACTCTGTCTGGACCCCTCCCACAGACATCACGCTTCACATCTCCCCCGTCGTGTCCTCCCCCTCTGCAGGAAGCGGGGTGCTTTGCTATGGGGAGGCTGGCCAGGTATCAAGGACATCACGATATAATTACTGTTTTGTTTAGAATCTTATTATATGTCCAAATAAATATTAGATGTGAAAATAAAATATCTTTATAAATATGACTTGATACTTTAAGAATAAAAACTAGAAAAATAAAAATAGGATTACAGGGCGCCTGGGTGGCTGAGTCGCTTGAGCGTCTGATGCTTGATTTCGGCTTGGGTCATGATCTCAGTGTAGTGAGATCGGGCCCCACACCCGACTCCCAGCTCAGCGAGGTGTCTGCTTCTCTCCCTGTCCCTGTGCCCCACCTCCTTCTCCCTCTCTCAAATAAACAAATAAATCTTTTTAAAAAGTAGGATTATAAACTCCAAGCCAACAGAAGAAAGTGGAGCACAGAAAAGCAACCAAACACAAGGGAAACCCAGAGGGAGACAACAGGGCCCGAGCAGGACTACGCCCCTGTGGCAGCTGAATCAGGAGGTGCAGGGACATCCATGTCCTAATTCCTGGAGCCCCGGAAATTGTAATGTAAGCCCCTCACATGGCGACAGGGGCTTTGCACACCCTGAGATGGGGAGATTATCCTGGACTACCTGGGTCGCTCAACGTAGTCACCAGGTCCTTACACAGGGAGGCGGGGGTCAGAGCAGGAGCAGAGGTGTGGGGGACCACTGCTGGCTCTGAAGGTGGACCATGGGTCCCAAGGGACGCAGCGGCCTCGCCAAGCAGGATTGCCCCCCAAGAGCCTCCAGGACCCAGCCTGGCTGAACCATTTTTCAGACTTCCGATGTCCACAAACGTAAGACAAAAAACTTGTGTTGCTTTTGTGTCATTTGTCACAGCAGCAATAGGAAACATCCAAAATCATGATAAACGTGAATAAACTGGGTTAAAAATCCCATCTGTGACCTGTACCTCTGAACCAAATAATACATTATATGTTAAAAAAGAAAAGAAAAGAAAATAGCAGGAGGGGAAGAATGAAGGTGGGTAATTGGAGGGGGAGACAAACCATGAGAGACTATGGACTCTGAGAAACAAACTGAGGGTTCTAGAGGGGAGGGGGGTGGGGGGATGGGTTAGCCTGGCGATGGGTATTAAAGAGGGCACGTTATGCGTGGAGCGCTGGGTGTTATGCACTAACAATGAATCATGGAACACTACACCAAAAACTAATGATGTAATGTATGGTGATTAATATAACATAATCAAATTAAAAAAAAGAAGAAGAAAAAATCCTGTCTGTGAGCTGCTGAAATGAGGCCCCAATAAACACGTGTCACAGCGACGTAGAAGGAAGTGGTGGGCAAACGCAAGGCTGCGCTAAGAGGAAAGCAAACACGGCTCTACTTCCGTCACAGGCAGAACCGACCTGAAGATATAAACAGGAACGACACACAAACCCACTGAGGGGCTCTGGCTTTGCAAGGATGGCACACACACAGGACAGTAGCGGAATCCCACCCGTATGAGCTGCGCCTGGGGACCCGCGCGCTACCCGCCTGCTACGTACCCACGCGTACACTCCTGCGCCTGGGGACCCGCCCGCTACGGGCCCACATGTATACTCCTGTATCTGGGGACCCGCCCGCTACCTGCCTGCTACATACCTACGCTGTGCACTCCTGCGCCTGGGGACCCACCCGCTACGTACCCACGCCGTACACTCCTGCACCTGGGGACCCACCCGCTACGTACCCACGCCGTACACACCTGCACCTGGGGACCCTGCCCCATACCCATGCCCTACACCCATATGCCTATCGGCCCCGCCCCCTACACCCACTCCATATATACCTACGCCTGCGGTCCCCACCCCCTACGCTCACACCTACCTGCACCTGTGGAACCCACCCCTATGCACCTGTGCCCTGGACCCCACCCCCTATGTGCCCACGCCATATGGAACCTGCCCCCTACATACCCGCACCGTATACACCTGCTCCTCTGGACCCTGACCCCTACGTACCCGCACTGTACACGCCTGTGCCTGTGGACCCCACCCCTACGTACCTACGCCATATACAACTGCACCTACGGAAACTGCACCATGCGGAACCATATGGTCTGGCCTCCTAGCACACGGCTCCCAGGGAGCATGGGTTCTAGTGACCATGTGGTTCCCAGGGAGCATGCAGTTCCAGCGACCATGTGGTTCCCAGGGAGCACACAGTTCCAGCGACCATGCGGTTCCCACGGACCATGCCGGGAGCAGCAGAGCCTGGGGGAGGTGGTGCGTGGGGCACTCTCTCCCGACCGCCACCTACCTGTTGAGAAATATCACCCTGCAGTTGTAGCGGACATTCCGGTGCATGACAGGCCTGTGGAGAGAGGGGGCACACACGTGTCTGTGAACAGCAAAATCGTATGTCTGTTTTCGTACGAAGCCTCCTCGAGCCCTGGAGGAGAAGCAGAAATCTCCCCGATAGCTTTCTCAGAGGGTTTCTGCCCTGGAATAGGCTCTAAAGCAGGAGAGACTCTTCCAGTGGAGCGCAATCATTCCCTCTCAGGGCTCTTCCTCTCTCCTGGCATGTTCTCAGACCTTCCAGTGGCTGCCTCCCCATCTGCACGCAGCCCTGTCACCGTGTCACCTCTCCGTCCCCTACTGGCCTTAGGCACCAGCCCCAGCGCCTTCCTGGTTCTCCTTCAGAGCACCTCCTGACCTGTGGCCTGCACCCCTTCCATTTGCCCACCACTCTGTCTGGACCCCTCCCACAGACATCACGCTTCACATCTCCCCCGTCGTGTCCTCCCCCTCTGCAGGAAGCGGGGTGCTTTGCTATGGGGAGGCTGGCCAGGTATCAAGGACATCACGATATAATTACTGTTTTGTTTAGAATCTTATTATATGTCCAAATAAATATTAGATGTGAAAATAAAATATCTTTATAAATATGACTTGATACCTTAAGAATAAAAACTAGAAAAATAAAAATAGGATTACAGGGCGCCTGGGTGGCTGAGTCGCTTGAGCGTCTGATGCTTGATTTCGGCTTGGGTCATGATCTCAGTGTAGTGAGATCGGGCCCCACACCCGACTCCCAGCTCAGCGAGGTGTCTGCTTCTCTCCCTGTCCCTGTGCCCCACCTCCTTCTCCCTCTCTCAAATAAACAAATAAATCTTTTTAAAAAGTAGGATTATAAACTCCAAGCCAACAGAAGAAAGTGGAGCACAGAAAAGCAACCAAACACAAGGGAAACCCAGAGGGAGACAACAGGGCCCGAGCAGGACTACGCCCCTGTGGCAGCTGAATCAGGAGGTGCAGGGACATCCATGTCCTAATTCCTGGAGCCCCGGAAATTGTAATGTAAGCCCCTCACATGGCGACAGGGGCTTTGCACACCCTGAGATGGGGAGATTATCCTGGACTACCTGGGTCGCTCAACGTAGTCACCAGGTCCTTACACAGGGAGGCGGGGGTCAGAGCAGGAGCAGAGGTGTGGGGGACCACTGCTGGCTCTGAAGGTGGACCATGGGTCCCAAGGGACGCAGCGGCCTCGCCAAGCAGGATTGCCCCCCAAGAGCCTCCAGGACCCAGCCTGGCTGAACCATTTTTCAGACTTCCGATGTCCACAAACGTAAGACAAAAAACTTGTGTTGCTTTTGTGTCATTTGTCACAGCAGCAATAGGAAACATCCAAAATCATGATAAACGTGAATAAACTGGGTTAAAAATCCCATCTGTGACCTGTACCTCTGAACCAAATAATACATTATATGTTAAAAAAGAAAAGAAAAGAAAATAGCAGGAGGGGAAGAATGAAGGTGGGTAATTGGAGGGGGAGACAAACCATGAGAGACTATGGACTCTGAGAAACAAACTGAGGGTTCTAGAGGGGAGGGGGGTGGGGGGATGGGTTAGCCTGGCGATGGGTATTAAAGAGGGCACGTTATGCGTGGAGCACTGGGTGTTATGCACTAACAATGAATCATGGAACACTACACCAAAAACTAATGATGTAATGTATGGTGATTAATATAACATAATCAAATTAAAAAAAAGAAGAAGAAAAAATCCTGTCTGTGAGCTGCTGAAATGAGGCCCCAATAAACACGTGTCACAGCGACGTAGAAGGAAGTGGTGGGCAAACGCAAGGCTGCGCTAAGAGGAAAGCAAACACGGCTCTACTTCCGTCACAGGCAGAACCGACCTGAAGATATAAACAGGAACGACACACAAACCCACTGAGGGGCTCTGGCTTTGCAAGGATGGCACACACACAGGACAGTAGCGGAATCCCACCCGTATGAGCTGCGCCTGGGGACCCGCGTGCTACCCGCCTGCTACGTACCCACGCGTACACTCCTGCGCCTGGGGACCCGCCCGCTACGGGCCCACATGTATACTCCTGTATCTGGGGACCCGCCCGCTACCTGCCTGCTACATACCTACGCTGTGCACTCCTGCGCCTGGGGACCCACCCGCTACGTACCCACGCCGTACACTCCTGCACCTGGGGACCCACCCGCTACGTACCCACGCCGTACACACCTGCACCTGGGGACCCTGCCCCATACCCATGCCCTACACCCATATGCCTATCGGCCCCGCCCCCTACACCCACTCCATATATACCTACGCCTGCGGTCCCCACCCCCTACGCTCACACCTACCTGCACCTGTGGAACCCACCCCTATGCACCTGTGCCCTGGACCCCACCCCCTATGTGCCCACGCCATATGGAACCTGCCCCCTACATACCCGCACCGTATACACCTGCTCCTCTGGACCCTGACCCCTACGTACCCGCAGTGTACACACCTGTGCCTGTGGACCCCACCCCTACGTACCTACGCCATATACAACTGCACCTACGGAAACTGCACCATGCTGAACCATATGGTCTGCGTGTTGATGTGGAGTGATGTGGCGTCATCCCAAGACTTACCATTAAGTGAAGAAAGTTCCATATGTGTGATGGGGTAAACACCATGCTCCCACTGTGCACAGTGTGCTCCCACACGGGCAGGAGCTTCTCGGGGAACCTGTAAAAGCTGCTTCCTAGAGCTGTCTCCGTTGGGGGACTTAGGGGTCTACAGGCTGGGGGGCGTACAAAACCCACTTTTCAACATAAGGCCTTTTGTATCTTTGAAACGTGCAGATCCCGCATCCCTAAAGGTAGGATAGCTCGCACCCTGAACCTTCCTTGTTTTCTGAGCTTGCCTTCCCAGATGTGCGCGTTGGCACTTACAGTCCCACGTCACAGATGATATCCTGAGTGACCGGAGATTCCAGAAGGGCAGCCAGGACTTGGAGCGAATGCAAGAGGGTGTCCGACTCGTAGTAATGATCCCAACACCCGTAGCCACTGCAGAGGAAGGGAGCAGGCAGATGAGCCCCAGAGACACACTGGGGGAGTGGGGAGGGGCGGCAGGGGCACGGGCCAATGGGGTCAGAACGTGCAGGGGTGCAACCAGCGATTCCACTGTGCAGCCAGAGTTAGGATCACTGCTACAAAAGAGGATGCATTTCCCCAGAAATGAAGACACCTCTGTCCCCAGGCTCTTTTTTCCTAGCTTTAAGTTACAACAAGAAATTATCTCTTGTGTCAACGTGTCTGCCTGTGGATGTTTTTTTAACTTTTAATGTAGCCAAAATCACATTGATCTACAAAGCTGAACGCACAGAAACATGTTCCTCAGACAAGGAAGATCATTAATATCATTCCATTATCACTCACAGAGCGACTCCTAGTTTTTGCTATGGTTTTTGCTGGTAGCAGGCTGGTGTCCCCCAAAAAGCTGTGTCCACCTCCTAACTGCCGGAGCCCGTGAATGTGACTGTACTCGGGAAAGGGTCTTTACAGAGGTTATTAAGGATCTAAAGATGAGACGAGCGTGAATGACCTAGGCAGGTGCTGCATCCAACAGGAGGAGGAGAAGACATGGAAGGGGGCCGTGTGAAGACGGAGACAGGCGGGACTCGGCCCCAGGACAAGGGGTGGGAGCGGAAGCCAGAGGAGGCAGGACGGATCCTCCCCTGGAGCTTTTGGAGGAAGCTTCTGGCCTCCGGAACTGTGAGAGAGTCAGTTCCAGCTGTTTGAGGCCACCCAGCTTGTCGATTCTGTAACTGACATCCTCCGCCTCATAAAATGACAGGTCCAGATTTGGGGGCCAGGTGTGGGGAGAGCACGGCACAAAGAAAGGGGTAAGGACCTAACCTGGAGGTGTCTGGACAGCGATTATGCCGGGGAGACTGGGCTGCTGAGGGCAACCCTGCAGCGGGAAGAACAGACAAAATACAAACACCAAGCCAGGAGCTCAGGGGTAGAGATCATCTACACACCCCAGGGCCCCAGGGGCAGAGCAGTGTCTTGAAGAGCAGGTTAAGTGAGGGTGCAAGTGCTCTTGGCTACCACGGGAGACACAGCCCGAGCTGAAGTCGGGATTCCAAAGACAGAAGTCCAGCTCCCGAGGAAAAGGACAGAAGTGGCCTCAAGGGCGAACACAAAGACACCTGGGAGGTGAGACTTTCTGTTTACACGAAGCCCAGAATCCAAAGCAGGCACATGTCCTGAGGAGGAACTTCTGATCCCACAAATGGCCAGGACCTGTACCCACGTGGGAACCCAGAGGGCAGCTGACACCTGTCACAAAAGAACCGTAGCTCATAAGACACTTGCTTATTTCTGAATAAGGGACAAGGAGAAACTGGCTTCCCGATCGCTTCAAACAGGCAGAGCGGAAGTGATCACTCACACTCACTTGTGGAGAGATGCCGAGGCCAGTAAGTGAAACGTGCTTGTGACCAAACATGAGAGGGAGGGCCTGGGGAGGGTGGTGGCCAGCGGAAGCGGCTTGGATACCAGTCCAGCTGCTGAGTCCCCGCTCCTCTAGTGACCCGACACAGGACTCCAGGCCGGCCCAGCCTGGCCGGGCACTCTGGCTCAGAGGCATCAAGCAGGCCCACTCGCGGGCTTCCGATGCCCCTCAACAGGCCCGCACATCTGCACCTCTCCATACCCACCCCCCTTCCCTGCGTTTCCACTGTGGGGAGCTGATGCAGATCCCTCCACCTGCCCGCCCTGCGGGGTCTGTGTGTTCTGCTCTCACCATATTTCCAGTTCTGGTCCCAGCCTGTATCTTGCTCCTTTGCGTTTGGCAATTTCAATACCTGAGAGAGAGAGGAGCAATTTCTGACCACACCGTGGTCAGAGGCAGATAAAACACTGCTGTAATAGGTGTGATAAAAAGCCAAATCACAAACAAAAGCACTCAGTGATCTCCCTGACCCCATGCAGCCAAGGATGGGCTCTCCCAGAGACCCTGCTTACACAGGCAGGAAATAAGACACAGGGCCTGCAGGGCTGACCTTAGCACCGGGGAGGAAGCATCCACACCCTGGTAGTTCATTAACGGGCAGATGTGGAAGACCGCGTAGAGGGAGAGGGCAGGACTCGAAGGACCACAGCCTACAGCGGCACTGGCAACCTCTGGTTTGGGGCAGCAGGGCCCAACGTGCACCTATGGAGGAGAGGCCACCTGAACAGAGACAGCTCTGGCCACCGACTGCCTCGCTCTAATTAGATATGCTCTGTGCTCTGATAAGATGAAAGCAGATTGAGATTGAAAAAAAGAGGTTGAAGGTCTGGGGTACATGGCTAAAAAGATGCCCTCTCTTGCATCCTCCTGTTCTTACTGCAAACTCTCTTGCAGGGAGCAGCTCAGAACAAGACGGCCCGGGGTGAGCACACCTGCAGGGTTGGCCAGGACAGCCCCACTCTAGCTGTAGGTCTGAGTAGTTGGACCTTTCATGCTCACAGATGGGCTGGTGCCAAGGCTCACTATATGCCCCCCCCCGCCCCCGCAACAACCACACCCTAGTCTCTAAGTTTGCAGGCTCACCCCTTACTCTGCTTCCCTCTAGGGCCTGGCTTCTCCCAAAGTCTACCCATCAGGACAGTCTCTAGGCACCAGACACAGTAACAGCACTCCCGTCTGTCTTAAAGTCTGACTTGCTTCAAGCTCACATGCTCCTCGCTTGCTGACCTAAGTCCCTGGATCTGTAGCAGAACTAACCTACTCTCCTTGAGATTTGCAGACCACTGGCCTCACGGAGTGAAGGACCTGACTCTCCCAGATGATGAGCCCTGACAGCATTCGAGAACAGCTGGGGGTGGGGGTGGGGAATGCCAGTGAGTCCGTTCAGGGTCATGTCCACATCTGACTGCCATCTGGGCACCTGCTTCTCCTGCATGCAGCCCCCCTCCCTCTTCCTGCACCGTCCCCTTTGAAACCCTCGGGCTCCCTCTGGATGGGAAAGATGGACTTTGACACTTTAGTTCACCATCTTCCCAGGTTGCCTGGTTCCTGAATAAAGCAACTTTTTCTTTACTCCCCATCACTTGTGTTGATGGCAAGCTGTGGAAACTGAGTTAGGAACCAGTTCTCTGGTAACAAGACCACCTTTCGTGGGACACTTCTTCACGACATCCTCGCTGGTGGCTGACCACCCTCTTCCCTTAAATGCCTCTAAACATGGACAAGTCAGCACCTCTCAGGCATCTCAGCCCTAGCTAAGCCACACTGGAGCCCACAGGTATCTGAGGACAGATAAGCCTCAGCCTCTCATCTCCATCTCTGCCTCTGCAGCCACGCTTTTCCTACCACGAGTGTATACCATGGGTCCCACCAGGAACAGTAAACCACCCCCAGTTCGGGGGGGGGGCCTGGGCACTTACGGGGGGGGGTGGTCATTATGCATCATCTTATCTGTCCCCAGGCCCAGGGCTGCGACTTTCCACAGAGCAAGGATGTGTGTGCATCACAAGCAAGTAGGGGCCGGCCGGCCTGGACCTTCGCCCACCCCCCACCCCATAACCCTGCCACCCCGGCCCCACTTGCCCCACCCCATCCCCCCGCTCCCCCCCCACCCCGACCTCCCCACACCCCGTCCCACCAGCCTGTCCTGTCCTGTTCTCCCACTCCCCCCACCCCGCCGCCCCGAGACTCACTCTTTAAAATCCTCTGCAAATTGCCCTCGAAGTCCAGGGCCCATTGGTTGAGCGCGCAGGTGGCCACGGTCACCTTCCGGCCCATCCTGGCCGCAGTGGCCTGGGCTCTTCCGGGTCGTCCCGCAGGGTCTGGCCGGCCTTGGGCAGCAGAGCCCGCCGAGTCGCGGCCGCGCCTGCGCAGGAAGGAAGGAGGCCCGTCCCCTCCGCCCCACCGCGAATCCCGGATGAGTTCCTGCAGCCCCGCGACCTATCACAGGGGACGGCGGCCAGCCCCGGAGCGAGCGCAACTCCACTATTTTATTCCACACTTCCCCACACACTGCACCCAATCTGCTCCTTCAACTTGGCTGTTTCCCCTCGTAACGTTAGATACGTCGTTTTCATTCTTTTTCTGCAGTTGGGTGCTGCATTGTGGGAGTAGAGCACGAGCTCTCCGTTCGGTGCCGGAGAGCGTCCTCGGCCCTGCGCCCACGCGCGCGCGCGCGCACTGCCTCTGTTTCCTTTCCGAGAGCCGGCGCCTGTGCGGCCGCGCCTCATTTCCCTAGGCCTACAGGTCCCGCCGCCGGGCGGAGTGCCGCTGTGCTCTTGCCCCATTTCTTACCCGGAGCGCTCGTTCGCTCTACTGCGGCAGGCTTTCGCTTTTTCTTAAAGCTCATTCTTTCGTCCATTTAGGGTAGGAATCCATTTTTTTTCCGTATGAATAAGTAACTCTCCCTGTCATTGAACAGTCCGTCTTTTCCCGACTTGCGATGCTGCTTTTGTCATAAATATTTTCACATTTAAAATACTTTTTCCCCGTCTCTAAAGTAATGCTTGTTCTTGATGGACAATTGGAAGAAGGAAAGGGAGGGGAGGGGAGGAAGGCTGGGGCAGTGCTCCAGATTAAGGCTAAGGAGCCCTGACACCTGACGCACAGAGTGGTTTCCCGATTGGATCCTGACTTTTAATAAACAGCTATAAAGGACATGAATGGGACGATGGGGGAAAACTGAATATGAACAATATATTAGATAATAGCATTGGGTTGTTACAAAATTTCCAAAGTGTAATGTATTTTATTTTGGTAACGTAAGAGATGGTTGCTGAAGTATCTAGGAAGAAAACATCACCTGCGGCTAATTAATGGTTCAGGGAAAAAAGTGGGGGGTGGATACAGAGAGAGAGGGAGGGAAAGAAATTAAACGTGGGAAACTGTTAGCTGCTGAATCTAGGTGTATGGGTGCTCACTTTAGTATATATTCAACTGGTTTGTGTGTTTGACATTTTTCAAAATAAAAAACTGCAGAAAAAATGTATCTCTGTGAGGGACACAGAGCTGTGCCAATCAGATCCCTATGCAAACAAGACCTTTGTCCCAAATGTTGGGAGTGGGGCCAGCAGACACCTTCAATTGCCCACCCCTCCAGGGGCTGCTTGGGTTGTACAGTTGCCTTGCCCAATGTCATGTCCTTGCAAGGGTGGCCCTGTCCAGTAGCTGGTCTCCGGAGGCAAGAGTATGTATGTGGCTTGGGCATTCCTGCCAAGCGGGACAACTGTCGTGGGTTCTTATCTGCCCCATTCTGTTGGCCCCAGTTGGGCTTGCATGGCAGTTCAACTTCTCCCTCTTTCCGGCGCTGCTGCTCCTTTCCCCCTCTCATCTCTGCACAGGTGTGATCCTGACCCGAAACTCCATCTCCCTCACTTCTGGGGGAACCAGACCTGCCAGGCCTCCTAGCAGAGCCCTCCCTGACACCCCCAAATCAAACTGCTCTAATCCTCTGCACAGCACCTTCACCATCTGACACTCTACCTATTTGATTATTGTTTATCGATTATTGCTCTCGCCCCGCCCCTAGTAGACGTGACCCCTAGGAGCAGGGATGTTGTCCGTTTTGTGGGTTGCGGTGGACCCAGAGCCTGACACATCAGATGCTCAGCAAGTGTTTGCTGCGCGCCTTGGAAGCCCCATTTGCAGAAAGAGGAAACTGGGGCGCAGGGGAAGCAACTTGCCCGCGGCCATTGGGTGGATGGAGCGCCGGCCCTCGCGCGTGCTCCGCGGGGCTTAGCGTGCGTGCGGGGTGCCGCTCCGGCAGCCAGCGGTCCGCGGGGCGGGCCCTCGGCCGTCAATCCCGCGCCCCAGCGGCGCCGAGTGGTGCGTTTGGTGGTCCGGAGTCAGCTCAGGGGGTGGGGCGAGGCGTGCGAGCAATCGCCGGGCGCAGGGACGCCGGCCTATCAGGGCCCGCCTCCAATTGGTCGTCTATCGCATCACGTCATGCTGGGGGCGGAGCTTCGGGGCGGCCCCTCTAGGCCACCGGCGCGCGGGGGGGGGCCCAGCAGGCCAGGAGTTGGGGACGCAGGTGGGTGCGGAGCCAGACGCTCAGGTGAGCCGGCGCGGTGCGGGCAGGTTAGGGGCGCCCAGGTGAGCCAGCGCGGTGCGTGCAGGTGGGGGGCGCCCAGGTGAGCGGCCAGGGGTGGTCTATTCTCAGAAGCGCCCCGGTCTGAGGACCGGTGCCCTCTTTGGCCCACCTGAGCCCTTCCTGCAGCTCCTTAGGTAAAGAGAAAGGAACTGGGCCCCACCGGGCGCCACTTTGGGTGCCCAGATTTGAGACACGGGCAGCGAGGGAGTGGGCTGCTCCGTGAAGCGTAAAAGACCTTTTGTGTACTCTTGGTAGGAGCAGAAAATGACGCGCTCTTTCTGAGCGCAATTTGGCGAATTCCTTTTTAATAAAATGTTGTGTATTCTCTCAAAAAATATATATGGATGGTTGGGGAGGGGGAGCTGGAAACATGGGGCATGGAGCGGCCTGGTAGTGAAATTCAGATAACTATGATGATAACAGGTAATTTTTCTGAGGGCCGTGCCAGGTACTATTCGAATACGGAAACATTTCTTGGAACCTTATCTGAACAGCGCGGGGGGTCTGGTTTGGGAATTTGTGAATCCAAGAGTAGTAGGGACTGAAGAATACAGACCTGCCAAAGTCAACCTGAGATGAAAAAGAATGATAAACATCAGAATCGGTGAGGGGGTGGGCAGCTGCTTTCCTGGTTGTGAAGACAGTTCTAGAGACCAGGTAAACCTACCTGTCCACCCAACATCTACCTTTAGGAGTTTATCCCCAGACATATTCAGACAGCTATGTAAACATGCAGATGCAAGAACTCCCATTATGACTTGCTGTATATACATGCAAAAACCAGAAACACCTAATGACTATCAGTAAGAAGATCGGATAAGTCATGATGCACTAATACGGTGGGATACGTGGCAACTGTTAAAACGAATGGACTCAACATGGAAACAAGTCCCCCCTCATGCCACAGCAAAAGGGGCAGGAGGGAGATAAGGCTGTCATTAAAAAGACTACTTGAAAAGCTACACACCCAAACCTTAAACAGGGATGGGGATACAGCTGTTCTTTTCCTATTTTCCGGAAAACAGACTTATGTAATAAAATAATTTAGCAATAACGAAGAGTTTTTAAACAGCTCTTGGAGTCCTAAGACCCACAATTCTGGGAACATTTGTGGCTGAATGGGGGTCGGGAGGTCACCTATGCATCCCCCCCACCATTCCCAAAGCATGATGGGACTGATCTTTGGGGTGATTCTTGGTTTACCTGCAGCTTCTCTACAACCCAGCCCCCCCCAGCCCCGCCCCCTGACCCTGGGCCTTCTGCAGTTGTCACTCCCTCAACTCACACGTACAGTTCACAAGCCTCACTTCCAAATGTAGGGGCTGCTTTGGAGATGTGTGGCTCCTCCAAGCTCTTGGCGCCAGGAGGCTCTGGCCTGGCTTACCTTGAGAGGACTGAGGGCCCAACAGGGACCCAGCAGAGCCACTCCTGGGGCGCTTTCCGAGGCCTTCAGAAGTAGGCATGTGCCCTAGGTGGAAAGAAATGCCCAGAGACACTGAGCCCTGATTCTAAAGGGTAAGCTGCAGCTTTGACCGTGGCTCCAGGGTTCTGCTCTCCAAAAGCTGCAGATATATGCTCACTGTAACGCAAGTTTAGAATTCAAATGTAGAGGTCCTTGCCTTTCTTCTTTCTCCAGTCCACCCCCAGAAGTCATTAACCTCCATCCCCATGGGCCCGAGTGAGCAGAGAACGCACTCCACCTTGCTCACATCAACCTCCTCATCTGTAAAAGGGACATCGTAATCCTTACTCTCCGGTGTCCGTGCAAGAACTCAGTAAGATATTGGGCACTTGGAACTCTGTAGATGCTCAGTAAACAGCCACTGTCTGTAAAGGTTGAATCATCGAGGGATGGCCCCAACAGTATCTTGTGTTCTAATATCTTGCAATCCCCACATCAAGGGGTGGAGCCCGATTCCCTTCCCCTTGAAAGGAGGTGGACTTGGGACTCCCTGTAGCCGATAGAATGTGCTGGAAGTGCTGTCACTTGTCTCCTCAGGCCCTCAGAAGGGGCGGTACAACTCTGTGGGGTCTGCTGGAACCCTTGCTGGTTCCCTGAACCTCTTTCCATGGCACTGAGCCACCAGGCTGTGAGGACGCCCTAGCTGGCCCACAAGGAGAGACCTCATGAAGACAGCCGCTCTGGCACACCCCAACCTGTAACTGCCTAGCCAGTCTCTCCAGACTCCTAACCACAGAAGCAATGAGAAAGGATGAAAAGACTGTTGTTTTAAGCCACCAGGTAGCAGCATGGTTAGGTGCAGGGGGTAACCAGAACTCTCTGGGGCTGGCTTTGAGGTTGCATGGCCCTTAGACCTCTGCTAGTCTGAACCTCACCCTGACGCCCTGCATGAGCCCAGCTAAGCCTTTCTGAGGCCTGAGGGTGCTGAGGATCCTTTTGGTGATAACTGGCTCTCTTTTAGGTGAACTCCGATGGGGTCAGGGAGGGCTCTGAGCACTTGGTGCCATGACCTCATTTCCTTGAGTAAGCAGGTGACAGCTGCTTGTGGATGAGGAAACAGGCCTAGCAGGTGGTCCCACAACTTGGATTCCAAGTGGGCAGCAGGAATCTGTGCTGCTGAGAACTCAGAGCCTTGGTGGTGACCTTGGGGCCTCCAGGACATTCCCTGTGCCAGTCCCCAGATGTCTCTGCCATGCTCCTGGGTGTCTAGAGCATCCCCAAACTTCTAAAATTTCAATATGCCAGAAAGCTGCTAAGGGGTGTAAGTCATCTGTTGTGTGGGACTCAGCCTGTAGATAGTGATACTGTGGTCTGGGAATGCCTGAAGCACCCTTCCTGGGCTTGTATTACTGGGGCAACCCCCTCCCTCCCAGTGCCATCATGGCTAGCCCAGCCCTAGTGGTCCTTATGATTGCAGGATGCACCTCAGCAACAACCACTGGGGAGCTCTGACGGGCAAGGTTTATTACTCACACGTCCTGGAGGCCACACAGAATGCTCAGAGCCACAGTGAGGTCATGGGGAGAGAGGGTGTATGTGGGCCTGGGGCTCTGCCTTCATGGGGGTCAAGGGTGGGGGTCTGGGGTTTCATGGGTTCACTCTTTATTGGCCAGTTTAAAGCATAAGAGTGGGAATAAGGGCACGGGAAGAAGGGAGGTCACTGCAGTGGTCAGCTCTCTTGGTCACCTAGGGCTTTCTGAAAGGGGACTTACAGGTGGGAGTAGCCTGGTTCCTTCTCTGGTTGTTTGGCTGGGAGCTGGGTCAGGCAGCTCGTGGTGTGTTTATTTGAGATGGACGTCTTTGCCACGAATGGCTTGGCCATCAGAAGCTTAGGGTCAGGCACTTCTACTATGTCATCCTCAAACCCTCAGAGCCATGTCCCTTTGGCTTTGGCCTGTGGAACTCAAAGACCAGTCGAGGGAGCTGATCAGGCTGTCAGAAAGCCTCATCGCCTTCCCTGGCTGGTCTTTATCCCCAGGTATGGGACACTAACTCTCCCTCACCCAGCTTCAACAACCACTGCAGGGCGCCTGGGTGGCTCAGGTGGTTGGGCGGCTGCCTTCGGCTCAGGTCATGATCCTGGAGTCCCAGGATCGAGTCCCACGTCGGGCTCCCTGCTCAGTGGGGAGTCTGCTTCTCCCTCTTACCCTCCCCTGTCTCATGCTCGCTCTATCTCATTCTCTTTCTCAAATAAATAAATAAAATCTTTAAAAAAAAAAACAAAAAAAAAAAACCAACCACTGCAGATCCTCACATGTGTAGGCATTCATGACCCAAGATACTTAGGAAGGGCACTGGGTCCCGCGAGTCCGCAGAGAGCCAGGCTCCAAGCCCAGCTCACTCTCAATGCTGCTCCATGTTCTTAGGCTCTCACTGGCTCCCAGAATGTACCAATGGAATGTGCTAACTCCAGGGGGCTTGATTCAGGCTGGTGGCACAAACAAGCTTCTAGAAATGTTTCAGATGCATATGTGGCTGCTTGGTGTAAGTCTTCAAAGAAAATACCTTTCTGTTCATTGCTACTCATCAGGTCTGCATCTGCCTATGCTAAGGCTCATGTCCAAGGTGATGCTGCCATGCAGACTTGTGTTCAATCCCCCCATTATCATTAAATACTTACTATTTGCCAGACACTGTGTGTGCTAGGCAAAGAAGCTGGGTGGTAATATTCCCTACCCCCCCATGGGGTGTCTTCCGCTTTTGAACCCTAAGCTCTTGGGCTTGCACTTCTCACTTGGTTCCAACAGTGGGCCTTGAATAAATGCCATTTGGGTCCTTACCTGCCTTCAATCCTGAAATGTCAGCTCCCTGAGCGTCTTCATCATTTTTGTGTCCCTGCAAGACTTTCTTAGTGGGTTGAGGAGGATCAAGTGGGCCTTTTGAATTAAGAGAGTCCAGAGATTTTAGAATTTTAGAGAGGCCTGTTCAAGAAGGAACACTTCCATTCTGCTGTGAAACCCCTAGACAAGACATTGGAGGTAAGCGTGTCTTAGCACCATTGTTCATGGGCATAGACAGTGACTTTTTAGCTTTGAAAAAGTAAAGACAGCTGGTACATCAACTCCTGTCTGTGAGTCTTAGGAATAAAATAAAATATACCCCGAACACCTCCCTCTCCCCTGGCTACTTGTTTCCAAGGATATAACTTACACGTTTATTACAAGATTCAGTGCTCATGACAGAGGAGACTCCTGGGTGAATGAACTCTGTAATCTCAAAATATTTATTTGGGCTTGTTTGAATCTGTAGAAGATACACTTTTTCCTTTCAGCAGCATTTTCTGTTTGGCTTTTTACACTTAGTTCTGAGCCTATACATATCTGGCCCTTTTTCAGTTTTCTGCCAGGTTCAGTGAAAGTGACTCCCACGCACCAAGCTCTGTATTCTGTTTCGGGGCTGTAGAGATGGATGGTCCATAAGGAACTCTTCATCCTGCTTTGTACATCACAGGCAGACATTCCATAAACTTACCTGTGAAAATTAAATTAAGTGATGTGGCTACAGTTCCCACACTACAAATGAAAATGTCTTTTGACACTGAAATTTTTTTTAATGAATGTACATTTGTGTTAAAGTAACTCGTGTTCACATTTTTAAACAAGTCAGTGGCTTTTAAGACTTACACATAAAATAAACAGTTCCCCACTTCATCCCATAGTCTTAATTCCTAGAAACAAATACTTTTCATTATTTTAGTTACTTTTGTATTGTTGTTTTTACCTGCTTATTCTTAAATAATTTGCTCTTGTCACGCTAAGCTTTATGTATCCTACACATCTAGTAGTCAGTCGATAGCCAGGTATTACGTTGTTATGATGAAGTTGCTATTAATTACTGTTAAGCCAAGTAATGCACTACAATTATGGTTTGGGTTTTTTTCCCCCTTGTATGACTTTTTATAGTTCCTGGAGTTAATGGTTGCCTCACTTTCCATTCACTAAGGTTTCTTTCTTTCTTTCCTTTTTTTTTTTTCCCATTTACTAAGGTTTCTATGTATCTTTCACTATTTTTTTTTCCTGAATGCTGTAATACAGCTGTCATACTATCAATAATTTTTCACAGTCTAACACAATAAAATTCATCATTTCTATTCTCCCTCCCACCAAAGCCATTCATTTAGTACCAGTGTGGACTGGTGACTGTCTGGTGCACTGCACAGCTCTCATCCCCTTATCCTTTCATTGGGCTTTCTTTCAGCAGCTCTCTTGGATCCTGTGTCATCTCCTCTGAATAATAGTTAATCTGGGAATAGAATTCTAGGTTGCAAAACAGTTTTCCTCAGAGTTTTTAAAGTTTTCCATCGTTGTCTTCTAAAATCCAACTTACTGCTAGTATGATTCTTAATTCTGGATTTTTCTCTAAAAGCGTTTAATATCGTGTTTTCTTATCCTTGATATTTTGAAAACTTCACAATTAGAACTTGTTCTGGAAGTGTAGATGTCACTGCTTCCCCCATAGACAAGTTCAGTTATTCCTCCTTTTTTTGTAGAGTGATTATTTATTGAATGCACTGTATGTACCAGACTGTGTTCTAGGACTTGGTAGTAGAGCAATGAATGGGACACATGATTCCTGCCCTTGGGGAGCTTACATTCTAATGGAGGGAGACAGACAATAGACATGCACTCAAATTAAAAAAAAAAAAAGCATTCTACATGATGAAAAGAGTTATTAAAAAAATAAAGTAGCAGGGAGAGTGACTTGGCAGGGGGTCTCGGGTGCAGGCAATGTAAATTGGCTGACTGGCTTGTACCTTGGTTCAAGATGAATGGCTATAGGGGAGAGGGAGAATGGAAATGATCAATTACTGTGTTAGAGTATCTAGAAAAATTGCTGAAATGTATGATAGCTCTGTTAGAGTATTGAGAAAAAAAATTAGGACATGCATAGAAACCTTAGCAAATGGAAAAAGTGGGGCAATCATTAACTCCAGGAAAAATAAAAAGTCATACTAAGGAGGGGACATTTCACAAAAGACCTGAATGAGGAGACCTGCAAAGCATGTTCTAAGCAGAAGTAACAGGTATCATGAATGAAATGAACCATATTCAACGATTGTTAAAGATCCTATGTGCCTGGATTAGACAGTATGAGGAGAGAGTGGGGAGGACAGGAGGCAGGAGCAGATTGCAAGAGGTCTCTGAAACATGGATGGCCTGGTTCACATGGTAAGAGGGCATTCTGCCACCATCTGAAGACTGAATCAAGAGATGTAGGAGGGTCAGGTAGGAGAGGCTGAAGCACAATCCATCATCTCTTCCTTATCTGGAATCGGGACAAGGTAATGAGTAGGTGAGTGAAAGAGACCAGTCCTGCAGAGTCTATGAGCAGTGGCAGATGTGGCAGGGAGATGTGGTGGCTCTTCATGGGATGATCTGAGCGGGATGTGTCTCCTTCCCTCAGGGCCCAATGGCTGCAAAATCCCTACACGATGCTTCCAAAACCAAGAGTCCAGACCGCATCGCCAACAGCAGGGCTGCGACTCAAGGACAGTGGGGCCGTGCCTGGTAAGAATCTTGGCAGTCTTCCCAGCTAGAAAATAAAGTGAGGTCTTAGAGGTTGCCAGCCTCTGGGATTTTATAGACCTATTAAATAAAATTTTTATCATCAAGACTAGTGAAAGGTAAGCAGTTTCCCATTTTATAATGTAAGGAATTGAAGAAGAAATGAAACACTGACTAAAACAGGCTGGCCCTGGCTGTGAAGCTCACAGTTGTCTCTGTCCTTCTTGGGCCAGAGAGTGTAGGGACTCGGGAGTGGGTGGGCAGCCTCCTTGCCCAGAACCGGGAAGCCTCTGGCCTTGTGGGTGACAGGCTCTGGGCTTTCTGTGGGTGCCCACGGATCTGTCAACCTCCGTGCGACTCGCGGTAGAGCACACACGTGGAGTGGCTCTTCCAGGCAACGGGGAGGCCTCTGTGCCAAGAGCAGACAGCTGTCTCCAAGGCCCTGGCTACTCTGAACAACGGGGCCTGTACAGAAAGCGTTGTCTGCAAGGTCCCAGGGCCAGGCAGGCCCCGTGTGACCGCCTGCTGTCTGCTGCTGCAGGGAGGTGGACTGGTTTTCGCTGGCGAGCGTCATCGCTCTGCTGTTCTTCGCGCCCTTCATTGTGTACTACTTCATCATGGCGTGTGACCAGTATAGCTGCTCTCTGACGGCCCCCGTGCTGGACGTCGCCACTGGGCGTGCTCGGCTCTCAGACATCTGGGCCAAGACTCCATCCGTGACGAAGAAAGCAGCGCAGCTCTACACCCTGTGGGTCACGTTCCAGGTCAGCCCTCCCTGGCTAATGTCGTTGGGGCACAGTGGGCGCCAAGCGCCCCTCTTGTTGGGATGGCCATTTGTCTGGGAAACGGAGCCCCGGCTTAGGTTGGCATTCTGCTTCCCAGGACCCCGCAGGGCATTACCTGGAGCCTGACCTACTTAGCTCTGTCTTCTGATAGAAGGCACCTGGCGGCATCATGGTGTCTGACCCACACGCGGGGTGAGGCGCCCCACAGTTCAGGACCCCGCGCAGCCTTGCAGGGACACGCGTAGTAGGATGGAGCAAGACGCTGTGGGAGGCCGTGAGGCAGGGCTGGCCCCGGGAAGCCCTGTGCCCAACAGGAAGCTTCCCTTGACAGCAGCCCATGGGAAGGAGCATTCCAGCCCCCAGAGGGATGCTCTCCATTACAGGAGACACCACTCGGCAAACCCACGGCCCGTGTCCCCAGCAGGTGGCTGCACGCTCCTGGCCAAGTGTTGTGACCCCACTGGCCTTTGAGACCAGAAGGAGTTCACCAGGAAGGGGCTGTTTGCACCAAGAACCTGGTGAACAGGCAGGGTTATTTATTATCTGAATCCAGGGAGACAGAACCGGGAGAAGCCCCCAGCTCCACCCCGGATTCCCTCCCTGGAGGAAGGCTCCCACCTTTAGTAGCAGTTTCTTCTCAGGGTCCTGGCTTCTGGGCTCCAGGGTCCCTCTCACTTCCGGTCTCTTGGCCCCTTTGGGTGAAAAACGAGATGGGGCAGCGTGAGTCACAATAGCCTAAGAGTAGAAATGTCAGTGGATGAGTGGCTAAAACAAAGCCTGGTCCATCCCTGCGGCGGAACGTTACTCAGCCATGACCGGGGTGGGCACTCACGTGTGCTCTGGCAGGGATGGACCTTGAGGACGTTCACTGAGTGAAAGAAGCCACGCACAGAAGGCCACGTGGTGCATGATTCCATTTATTTGAAACGCCCGGAATAGAAAAAATAGAAAACGGGTTAATAGTTGTTGGGGGGCAGTAGGGGGAGGGGAACAGGGAGCGACTGCTAAATGGGGGTGGGGTTCCCTTTGGGGGTGATGGCCCTGTTCTGGAGCTGGATGGTGGCGGCGGTTGCACGACCTTGTGAATGCACTAAATGACCTGGGAAGGGTCTAAAAGGGCAAGTTGTATGGCATGTGAATTCTCTCACTTTTTAAAATGGCCCCAGAAACGTGCGTAGGAAGGATTCGTGCGCTGTCCCGGGGGGAGACTACTTTGCTGCTTTAGGCAGTAATGAGCTTCCTGCTTGGGGCACCACCGCCCTCAGAGTCCCACCAGGCCTGCGGTCAGGGCTCCCAGAGCCACGAACTCTTCTGGAAGGACTAACCGACCAAAAATCAGGATTTCTGCCATTCGTGTGGTGCTTTTGTGTGAGTCAGGTCAATGAACAAAGGCAAGGTTGGGTGAAAGAGCCAGGTCCTCTAGGCGGCAGGTCACGCAGCCTTCAATCTCCACTGCAGGTGCTTTTGTACATGGCGCTTCCTGACTTCTGCCATAAGTTCCTGCCGGGCTACGTGGGAGGCGTTCAAGAGGGCGCCGTGACCCCCGCAGGTAACCTGAGCCCGCGCGCATCCCTTCTCTTCTCCCTGCCTCATTGTCTCACGGGGCCCATGTAGCCCTGTGCCGCTTCCACCCCCCGAGTGTGCTCCCCGACAAAATGAAAGTGAACTTCGCTCGGGCATTGCTGCCGCCCCAGGCCCTGCTGGTGTCCAGGGCAGCCCAGGCCTGAGCCGGCCCGGAGGCTGAAGATCACGTTCTTCAGCAAACAGGGCACTGAGCGGCCCCGACCCCACAGCTGGATGACGTAACCGGGCTGCTGGAGCACCTGCCCACCGAGAACGCGGCAGCGGCCACTTACATCCAGGCCGGGGGACTAGGGGGCACTGCAGAGCTGCCCGCGGTCACCAAGAAGCCAGGAGGAGCCCTGCAGGTGGAATCGGCCCTGTCCCTGCCTGCGGAGGGCTCCCGGGGCAGCGGGAGGATGGGGTGCTTCCCGACAAGTACTGTGGGGGCATCCTCACTCTCTTGCAAACTGCAGGCTGGTGACCTGGCCTGTGCTCGGCCGAGGAGAATCAGAACCAGAGGACTAGTCAGTGCCCTTTGCCTCTTCCCAGGACCCTGAAAGCAGGAGCAGTTGATCCTGGAGCTAACAGTGTCACTGTGCTCCTGGTACTTTGACCAGGGGCCCAAGTTAGAGCAGAAGCTGACCAGCTTCAGGACTGCAACCTGGCGTCCCAGACAGGCCCGGAGCAGGCAGGGCCTGGGCCAGCTGCTGTTTCAGTCGGGAAGACACTTTGATTTTTGCATCTTCCCTCCACAGGGGTTGTCAACAAGTATGAAATCAACGGCCTGCAAGCGTGGCTCATCACGCACCTTCTCTGGTTTGCAAACTCTCACTTCCTGTCCTGGTTCTCTCCCACCATCATCTTCGACAACTGGATACCACTGCTGTGGTGCGCCAACATCCTCGGCTATGCTGTTTCCACCTTTGCCATGATCAAGGGCTACTTCTTCCCCACCAATGCCAAAGACTGGTACGTTCTTCGGAAGCTGGTCAAGCTAAAGTGGAACGTGGATGCTTCCACTCCTTTCTCTATGACCTTGGGATAGGAGGTCGTAAAGCTCTGAGGACTGAGAATCCTTGATGGAGATGCCTAACGGATCTTGTTTAATTCTGGGGAACAACCTTTCTAAATGTCTAGGGGGCTTTTTCTGCCTTAGGAAGAATGCAGTGGAGGATGGCCGAGTCCATCTTTGGCTGAGTCATCACCTGTAGGGCTGTCGTGGGAGAGGCCGCCCATTGCCTCCATCGCTGGCACATGAGTGTGGCCTACAACGGTCTTAGTGAGGAGTCTTGTTATCTCAGTGGCTTTAATGTAAGAGCTTCCCAGGGAGAGCCCGACTGGTGGGTGGCTTCTCATGGAAGCTTTAGGTTAGATAGTTGTGAGCCCCCCAGCTAGCCATCTCCTCATCTGGCTCTTTATCCATCCACCCACCCTCCCACCCATCCATCCATCTGACTCATCCATCTAAGCCATCCATCCCCCCATCCATCCTTCCATCTAACTCATTCACCCACCCATCCACCCTTCCATCTAACCCATTTATCCATCCATCCATCTACCCATCTACCATTCATCTACCTACCTACCTACCCATTCATTTAACCCATCCACTGACCCAATCTACCCACCCATCCACTCACCCACCCACCTGTCCATCCTTCCATCCATCCATCCATCCATCCACCCACCCACCCATCCATCCATCTGTCCGTCCACCTACCTCCCCACCCATCCACACACCTACCCATCCACCCACCATGTAACCCATCCATCCCTCCACCCATCCATCCATCCACCCGTTCATCCATTTAACCCATCCATCCATCTAACCCATCCATCCACCCATCCACCCACCTACGCATCTATGCATCCATCCACCTAACTACCCACCCATCCATTTAACCCACGCATCCACCCATCTTCCCATCCACCCATTCAGCCCATCTATTCCATTCATCCCACCCACCCATCCACCTTTCCAACCCCCATCCTTCATCCCTGCCTCCCTGAATCCCTCCCTCCATCTCTCCTTTCACCAACAGATGTTGATTTGGTTCCTCCTGTAGATGGGTGTAAGTGGTCATGAATAAGATTCTTGTGCTTGGGTCCTATATTTTAGTCTCAGATACATTTAGGGGCCCAAGTAAAGACAAAATGTGTTTCCTTTAACTCTTGCTCTTGGAAAATGTCTTTGGATGATGGTGCTTTGTGACTTGTGTGGTAATTAGGTAATGAGGCTGGTCTTCTGTGGCTCATGTGAGTCATTTTCAGTGCTTTATAATCAGTGACCTGTTGTAGACTTTGTGTATTTTGCTCTTTCTTACTTACTATAACTGAGGGAAATGGACATGAAAATGTTTTTCTCATGAACACAGAAATCCCTGTGTGTCTACAATTTCTACCTGAGGAAGGTCTCCACTTCAGTCATCTTGGCTGATTCTCTGGTCACCCCTGGAGAGGGCCTTGGGGTCAGGAACCAGGGTAGTGGATGTCCAGCAGGGGTTCATGGTGGGCCCTGGAGCCGGGCACCTGGCTCTGAGCATGCTGCTTTTACTCACTCTCTACCTGGGCAAGATTTATCATTTCAATTGCGCGTGGGGGCCCGAGCACCCTGTGAGTCACCTCCAGCTGCATGCAAACGAAGACCTTCATGCAGTCGAGCCAGTTGTGTGGCTCACCTGGGCCATGCCTCAGGGGACCTGGAGGAGGGTGGGGAGAAACCTGGCTGTTCAAGGGAAGACTCCCCACCCAGCCTGGGAAGCAGCTTAGGGTGACTCTTGTGGAGCCGGAGCTGAGTGCCAAGTGAGAGCCAGTGAGGCCATGGGAAATGGAGGACCCGGCGTGTTGTCTGCCTGCGCCTCTGCAGCTGATGCCAGGGCCGGGCTCGGCACCGTGTCCACGCATGCACTGGCCCTGTGGTATGAGACGCGCTCCCTGGCTAAATGTATGTGTTGTTTCTATTTTCAAGCAAATTCACAGGCAATTTCTTTTACAACTACATGATGGGCATTGAGTTTAATCCCCGAATTGGGAAGTGGTTTGACTTCAAGCTGTTCTTCAACGGACGCCCCGGGATCGTCGCCTGGACCCTCATCAACCTGTCCTTTGCGGCCAAGCAACAGGAGCTCTACGGCCAGGTGACCAACGCCATGGTCCTGGTCAACATCCTGCAGGTAGCGGCCAAAGGGATGCAGGTGCCGATGCTTGCCGGGGGCCAGGAAAACCTGGAGGCCAGATCGGTTTTGAGAAACGTTAGCCCGCTGCGTTTAGAAGGGAGTCGGCCCCCTTCCCGGGCATCTCTGGGGAGGGGGTGAGTGAGCACGTGGGGATGGATCCTGTCACTGTGGGTCAGGTGCTGCGCTCACCCTGGGGACTCATTTGGCCCAGGGCCTCTTTCCCAGGGGACGCATGTTAACAGCCCAAGCCTGTCCGTGGTCCTGCCCATATTCACAATTTATGGTCTCTGAAGTGTTTTTCCCACACGGTCCCCGTGGCTCTCAGGTGGCGAGGAGGAACAGTGATTCATCTGCACCTTTTCCCCATCTGCGTAGAGGGACACCGGTCACTGGCCGTGCTGGCCACGTTATGGGTGTCTCGGTGCTGCAGGGGCAGCTGGGGGGATGCACAGCCTGGGGGGCCTGCGGGTAAAGGGCCTCCGGGCCGGCGTGGACTCTGGCATGCAGGGCTCCTTCCCTGCGGGCTGTCCCGAGCCCTTCTGCTGGGAGCGACCTTGCTCTTCTTGGAGCTCCACAGCCTTGGCGTCACCTTCCGGGGCTTTGCTGGGTGTCCCACTTCTCCAGACTGTCTGAGGATAAGGGCCCCCTTACCTACCCCCATACCGCCCTGTGTCCCAGGCGTGGCGGAAACGTGGGAGCCACCCAGTGGAGCAGGTGCCACCTCCTCATCTACAAGACTGTGGTTTTCCAGCCGGCCCCACGGGTGCCCCCCAGTCAGTACATGGTTCTTCCTGTTTTGCAGGCCATCTACGTGCTGGACTTCTTCTGGAACGAAGCCTGGTACCTGAAAACCATTGACATCTGCCACGACCACTTTGGGTGGTACTTGGGCTGGGGGGACTGCGTCTGGCTGCCATACCTGTACACCCTGCAGGTGAGGGGCCAGGGTGCGGGACGCGGCCCCACAGAACATTCGGCCATTTGGTCCCTGGGCATGCGCGGGGCTGCCCTCAGGAGACGCAGTTCAGCACATGCTGAGCGCTGCACAAGTGGTGTGCTTGGGGGCCCCTGGGGGCTGGAGGAGGGAGGCTGCTCCCTGTTTCCAGGAAGAAAGGAGGCTTGGTGGATTAGTCAGCTTGGGCTCCGTGACAAATACAATAGACAGGGAGCGGAGCTGGGGCGACAGACACCCGGGATGCAGGCACGGGAGGGAGGGGTCCTTCCGAGGCCTCGCTCCTCGTGTGTGGACGGCCGTCCTCCCCCTGTGTCCTCACGGGGTTGTCCCTGCATGCGGATCTGTGTCCTGATCCCCTCTTCCTGTAAGGACTCCGGTCACACCGGATCAGGGCCACCCCATGACCCCATTTTACCTTGATTACCCTCTAAAGACCCCATCTCCAGATATGGACCCATTCTGGGGTTGTGGGGGTTAGGGCTCCAATATATGAATTTGGGGGACACAGCTCAGCATGTGACACTGAAAGAAAAAGATGACATGGTGTAGACTTTGGGTAAAAAGGAGTGGTTTGGCTGAACTGGGTGGATGGAGGGGGGTATTTATTTATTTATTTATTTATTTTTTCTTTTTTTAAAGATTTTATTTATTCATTTGAGAGAGTGAGAATGAGAGAGAGAGGGAGAGAGAGCACATGAGAGGGGGGGAGGGTCAGAGGGAGAAGCAGACTCCCCGCTGAGCAGGGAGCCTGACGTGGAACTCGATCCCGGGACTCCAGGGTCATGACCTGAGCCGAAGGCAGTCGCTCAACCAACTGAGCCACCCAGGCGCCCTGGAGGCGGGTATTTATATTCATATCAAATCTTAATGGTTGAAGGATGAGAGGTTTTCTCTCTTCCCTTCATTCCTTAAATACTTGAGGGTCTGCACGGCACCAGGCATGTGCTGGAGATGCAGGAGCAGAGGAGACCTGCGTGGGCTCTTCCCTCCTCGGGCTCACGGCTGCTGCAAAAGGCCAGGGAACAGGCAACTTGGTGCAGGGAGGGGGTACTGGGGGGAAGTGGGGGTGCTGGCTCCCGAGAGAGGGCCCGGGAGGAGCCCCCGACCTGCCTCGGGCAGTTGGCAAATGCCTCCAGAGATAACCACAGCCGGGCTGAGAGCAGAGTGGGGAGGCTGGGGGTGAGAACATTCCAGACAGGTGGACTGACACCTGCTGAGTCGTACTGGTGAGAAAACTCGGGATGGGAGGACAACGGGCCAGGGCTCGGAGGGGAAGGCTCAGAGGGGGCTCAGAGTCCTCAGGAGAGTCCTGGCTTGCCCCACGAAATTCAGGTATCGAAGTGCTGGCCTGGGGAGCCACAGGGACCTGGGTTCACACCAGTTAGGGGAGGTGGCCTTGAGCACAACCCCAGACATCTCTGGAAAACTAGGGCAGCGCCCCCTCAGTCGGGGCTGGGCAGAGCCACAGGGGCACCGAGCTCGGTCCTCATGCTGTTGGCAACTGCAGGCCCTCCCTCAGGTGTCCCGCGACATGGGTGGGCGGCTAGTGGGGGGCAGAGCGGGATCGGACCTTGGGCCATGCTCCCCATCTCCCTGCAGGGCCTGTACCTGGTCTACCACCCGGTGCAGCTGTCCACCCCCCATGCCGTGGGCGTCCTGCTGCTTGGCCTGCTAGGCTACTACATTTTCCGGATGGCCAACCATCAGAAGGACCTGTTCCGCCGCACAGACGGCCGCTGCCTGATCTGGGGCAGGAAGCCCAAGGTCATCGAGTGCACGTACACGTCGGCCGACGGGCAGAAGCACCACAGCAAGCTCCTGGTGTCGGGCTTCTGGGGCGTGGCCCGCCACCTCAACTACACGGGCGACCTGATGGGCAGCCTGGCGTACTGCCTGGCCTGTGGCGGGGGCCACCTGCTGCCCTATTTCTACCTCGTCTACATGGCCATCCTGCTGACCCACCGCTGTGTCCGGGATGAGCACCGCTGTGCCAACAAGTACGGCAGCAACTGGGAGCGCTACACCGCGGCCGTACCCCACCGCCTGCTGCCCGGGATCTTCTGAAGCCCCCCGCCCCCGGGAGAAGCACCCAGGGTCCGGGAAGAGTATGAGAGCCGGCTCTGCTGGGGCTTCCCGCCCCCCCCCCCCCCCCCCCCCCGCCCCGGGAGCTTCATTGGAAATGGAAAGAGCGTGGCGCTTGGCGTGTCCTCCTCTTTCCTCGTCCCCGGGGGGGGCTCCTGAGGGCTTACGCCACCAGCAGAGACGACAGTTCCCTCTGTGCGGCGACCCGTGGGCAGCCCGTTATGCCCGCGTTTGTCCTGTGTGTTGGGAGCCCGAGCGGCTGGACGCACTGGTGTCCAGCATGGAACGGACACCTTCGGCTCGCTGTCACTTATCCTCACGACGTAAGGGGGGACGTGGATATGAGAGGTGCTGCAGTTATCAGCTTACTGCCTTGGCTCCAGATGCGCTCTTCCTTACCCGCTCTGCGATTGTGGGCCGGACCCTGTAGACATCTCTCCTTGGCTGATGTTAAATTTGAGGGACTCTGCATGGAGGAGGGGGCTTCTCTTTCTAGTTTCAGTGATGTTGCATTTTCTGCTGCTCACAGCCGGGAGGGAACAGCCAAGGCGCGTGCCCACAGCACGCGGACGTCTCAGCACTGGCCGCGGCGCCCGGTGTCCGACCCCCTAGGATCCGGCCACCGGCCTCGGCCTGCCCGCCCCTGGCAGGGTTTCTCCTGCTTGCCTGGCGACCGCCCATGTTGGCTCCGGCAACCCAGCACACCTGTGCACCATCCGGGGGGGGCCTCCAACAAGAGCTGAATCCCAGCCTCGGGGAGGGGATGCCTTTCAGGTGAATTTTTTTACCCTGGGCATTTGCCCACAACCCTAGGATTTTCTTGAAAGCTCTCTTTAAACATTACTGCCTTAGTAGATCCGATAATTTTTTATATTAAACTTCCCCTGTTCAAACTTCTGTGTGGGTTTCTGTCTCCCGATGGGCCCTGACCATACACAGGGGCTCGGTTTCTGGTACATAGAAGGGGCACCCAAGATGCATTTAATGAGCTGCTCGGGCACTGCTTCAGAGCTGTGGATACTCACCGGGGGGATTTCAGGGACCGGTGCCAGCCTGGCCCCACCACCAGCCCTCTGGGGGCTATTGTGTTGGGAGTGGGCGTCTATTCCATGCACTCGAGGAAGAAATCCCAGCCTGCCCGCCTGAAGGAGTGAACAGAGATGCTGGGCAGCAGGTGCCGGCCTTGCCTTCTGCCTGGAGAAACTGGATAGGAGGGGGCTACAGGCAGGGGAAGAGGGGTTTGGTGCCGGGCAGGGTCTCCCCTGCTTCCAGTAGGAACTGGCTGAACGGGCAGGTGACCTCCCGAACAGCCCAGTGGATGAGAGCAAGGCTTGGAGAGTGGTTATCCACACTGTCACTCACCCTGCCCGTTCATTCCAGCCCCCAGGCTGACGGGGTCCCAGGCATCTGTGTTTGTCACAAGTCCCATGACTGATTTGAATACCGATCAGCCTGGGGAACCACTGTCCTGGAGGGCTCTGAGTGGAGTGGACCCCTCCTTCTCTCAGACATGGAGTGAATTCATTTCGAGGAGGCCGGAGTGTGCTGGTTGTGAGCTTTTGCCCTGGCTCCGCCGTTGAACAGCTGTGTGACCTAGATCAGGTGACTTACCCTCTCTGTGCCTTGGCTTTCCCATTTGAAAAGTAGGGGCAATCATTATTTTCCTGCCTTGCTTTGGGAGGGCTTCTCAGGCTGAATTTGTAGAAGAGTTCTGGGCTCAAACCTTGGCTCTGTCTCTGTCCGCAAGCCCAGTGTTGTGTGTTTGCGTTAGCACTTCTGAGCTGGACTGCAGGTAGATCCTTCTGCAGCACCCTCAGCAAATGCAAGGCCAGGCTTGCCCTCACTTTGTGCAGAAGAGGGCCCAGGTCTGGCAAGCCCAGGGTGAGCCCAGGAGCCCCACCTCCGTGCACAGTGAGATCGGATCATGGGGGCCTCTGTGAGGCGCTGGTTACAAAATATGGGAAATTCTCAGGAAGTTGTGAAGCCACAGACCCTGGGCCCGCGGGAACATGGCCTGCCTTCTGCCTCCTCAGGAGAGGGGCTGCTTGGACCCCCAGAGCCAGGTGGGCTGAAGGCTCGTGGCCGGTGGTGCCACGCTGGGAAAGGCTCCTTCTGTCCCTTGGGCCTCTCCAGGTGTCAGCTGCTTCCAGGACAGGGCTGGTGCAGGAACCTCTGGCCATGTTCAGAGGGGCCATTGTCCAGGAGGAGCTGAAACGTGGCACATCCCCCTCCCCACGGGGCCTTGGAAGACAACGGCCCCTTTCCCGGAACCCACCTTACTCGTTCCAGCAGTGTGCCAGGAAATGTTACCACCAGCCTGCTTTCTGATCCTTAGGCAGAGAATGGTCCCTGTGAGCACTCGCTCTGCCCCCCGAGGGCTGGCAGGCTGCTGGCCCTGTTTCGGGAGGCTGATTCTGCCAAGAAACAGGCTCAGGGTTTAAAGCAACTCATCCCCAGCGACACAACCAGCAAGAGGTAGAGGGGTGTTCGTTCGCAATCCTGCTGTAACCAATGGCCACACGCTTGGGAGCTGACAACAATACCAGTTTATTTTCTCACGGTTCTGGAGTGAAGAATTCAAACGAGTCTTAGGAGACTCAAGGCATCAAGCGGGGCCATGCTCCCCGGGAGGCTCCTGGGTGGGGGGGTTCTGTTACTTCTTCCAGCTCCTGGTGCTCCTGGCATCCCCAGGCTCATGGCCCGGTCCCTCCAGCCCCTGCCTCTTACCCTGCAGCCGTGTGTGTCCGGCCTCACGTGGCCATCCGCGATTACATGGGGCCACGTGGATCATCTCCGGCCTCAGGGTCATTGATGTAATCATGCTGCCGATGTGCCTTGCGCCCTGTGAGGAGACACTCCCGGGTTCTGCAGATCAAGACGTGGACATCTTTGGGGGCCCCCTACTCAGGCACCCCACCCTCTGTCATGTCTTGCTCACTTTTTCTCCTTTAACTCCTAAGGCAATAATCCTGTTGTTAAATTAAACCTCATCGACAGAAGAGAGACACAGATTTCTTTTTTTTTTTTATTTTTTTTAAAGATTTTATTTATGGGCGCCTGGGTGGCTCAGTTGGTTAAGCGACTGCCTTCGGCTCAGGTCATGATCCTGGAGTCCCGGGATCGAATCCTGCATCGGGCTCCCTGCTCAGCGGGGGGTCTGCTTCTCCCTCTGACCCTCTTCCCTCTCATGTGCTCTCTCTCTCATTCTCTCTGTCTCAAATAAATAGAGAAATCTTTAAAAAAAATAAAGATTTTATTTATTTCAGAGAGAGAGAGAGTATGTGTGAGAGAGAACACGCAAGCATGAGCAGGGGGAGTGGGAGAGGGAGAAGCAGGCTCCCCGCGGAGCAGGGAGCCCGATGTGGGGCTCCATCCCAGGACCCTGGGACCATGACCTGAGCCGAAGGCAGATGCTGAACGGGCTGAGCCACCCAGATGCCCCAAGACACAGATTTCTAAGGAAGAAGTCCATCTGCAATGTGCTCATCGAGACCAACGCTTGCTGTCTCTGAGATTGCGGAGATATTCTCGGAGACGAAGGTGAGCCCACAGCCTGAATGGCCACTAATAAAAAATGCAGGTGACCAAGGAAGATCTGAGAAACGGTTCTGGGTTTCTAGTGATTCAAGGGCTAAAAGCTGACACTGTGCGATACTCTGTCATCTTGGTCCCACGGGCGGATTTCAGCAGAACACCGGCCCCGGTGCTGCCAAGGACAGGGCGAGCCCAGCCGTCTCCCACACGGACAACGCAAGCTCCCTGGAGGGCAGTGTCGACACCCGTGTTCAGAAACTCGAAGAGACAGATACTCTGAGCCGTGAAGTCAGCTCAGCAGATTCCTTAAGTTCTTTTCTGTGGCGGTGTCTTCCTTCTCAGTTCGGAATGTTGCCTCCCGTCTCGCGGTGTCCCACTTGTTGTGCTTGTTTCTGTGCATCGGGGAGGTCAGCCACAGGAAGGTCGTGGCCTGCCGTGGAAGGCGTCCCGTGGGTCTCAGAAGCACCGGCAGCAGGTGCCCCAGGGCTGTCCCCCGCGTGGGCTCGCGGGTCCTCCTTTGGTGCCCGGGCCTCCCTTGCTGTAGGGGCGCTGAGGGGCGGGGCCGGCCGTGACTCCGCGGGCCCGCTGGTGGGCAGGGCGGCCCCCTCGGCCCGGGGGCCAGAGCCGGGGTGGAGGGGAGGCTGCTGGGGTGGGCAGGCTGGACGGGACGGGTCTGCTGGGGAACGCCAGGGCAGGCCGAGCCATGCTGGCAAGGGAGGTGGACAGGGTGAGAACAGGCACCTTCCCGCGGCCGCTGTGCTGAAGGCGGACGAGAAAATGCTGCCCGCGCCCGCGCTTCTGCTCCCAGAGCAAGTTCCCACAGATCCCCGCACCTCCAGTGCATGTCCGAAAATGAGTCCGTAAACAGATGTCCTTCCCGAACGGCCCGAGCGCCTTTTCAGCCCGCTGACTCTGTGCTGGGTCTCGGACCGAGTGACATAGCACGCTGGCCCTAGGCGGCTGGGGTCTTGCATTCCTGGAGCCCTCCGGCTCTTCCAGAGGGCAGTCCCGCTGATTTTCAAAGCCAGACAGTATGGGGGCTCATCTTCCCCAGATCCCCAGAGGGGTCCCCAGAGTGGGGCTTGAACCCTTCGAGGGAGGACCTCAATGCTGAGACATCCCCCTGCCCTCAGGTCCCCATGCTGAGGGTTTGGTTGCTAAGAGCCTGCATCTCTGCCCCCGCTACGCTTCTGGAAGTGGCTTCCTCTGCATGTCTTTTGCTGTGGCCGAGCTGTTCTGCTGGCCGTCGGGTTCCTTCCAGAGAGACTGGCTGTACACGTGCAGGTTGCTGCAGCTTCGGTGCATCCGTGGGAGGAGGTGAGCTCAGTGTCTTCCTCTTCCACCGCCTTCCCACTCAGCCTGGAACTTACAAGTACGATTAATAAGAAAATTTTCCATGAAATGCGTGCAGGGAAGACATAGATGCACCCAGGTGCTAACACTGCTGAGAGCTGTGTGGTGGGGTGCTGGATTGATCTCATTGTTGGTTT